TGCCCTTGGGCATAGTTCCAAATTGCTGTCCATAACAGTTAGATCAGATCACAGCTCCACCGACAGTGCATTATTGTTCCAATTTTCACAACATTTATCATTTTCCTTATTTATCATATTAGCCAATCTGATAGGTGTGAAGTACTACCTCAGAATTGTTTTAATTTGCATTTCTCCAATCAAAAGTGATTTAGAGCACTTTTTCATATGACTATAGATAGCTTTGATTTCTTCATCTGAAAACTGCCAGGCTCTGAGTTTTTATACTATATTATGCTGCCTCTCTGGGTATACAAAATATATATAAAACAAATAAAAAGTAACTTTGCACTTATTAACTAATACGGGAGGGAATTCGGGTAGGCCTCATGTAGTGTTTGAGCTGAGCTTACAAGGAAACTTCTGGATTTAAAAAGGATAAGATACAGAGTGAATTTATTCAAGACATGGAGGGGGGACAGCCAGTGCAGTGTCACAGAGAAAGGAGATGTAATGTCATGTGTGAAGAACTGTAAAAGACCAGTTTGAATGATTTGTAGGGTGTGTGGAAGAGGGTAATGTATAATAAGGTAGGATGGAACCAATCAATGAAGGGCTTTAAATGCCAGACAGAGGAATTTGCTTTTTATGTTAAAGAGAATAGGGAGCCACTCTAGTGTATTGAGCAGGGGAATGGTGTGGTCATATCTGTGCTTTAAGAATATTATTTTGGCAACTGTTCAGAGGATGGATTAGGGAGTTCTGTTCTGAATCAAGTTTTACAACAATCCTCAATCTGCCTCTGCAGCTTCTATCTGTTATTCCTATTTTTTAGCTCTGAGGACAAACAGAACAAATTCCCAACCCCTTTTCTTTTTAAAATTTATGTATTTTATTCTGAACCTAAGAAATAAAACAAGCATTTCCAAAGCAAAGTGGAATAGAAAAACAGGTTTGCACCTAAAATTGCAGATCCATTATGTACAACTTGCTATTTCTTCCAAATATGCTACAAAGTTATTGTATAACTTTCTCCCCCACCCCAACTTTGAGATGGCTACCATTAGACACAGATGTGTGTGTGTGTGGGGGGGCGGTTCTTTTCCTGGTTGTAAACAGCATCTTCCTGCCTTCATTTGAGTACGTACAATAGTTAGAATGCCTTGGTTGCTCAAAGTTGTTCTTAAAACAATACTGTGGTTACTGTATACAGTATTCTTTTGGTTCTACTAACCCCTTTTCTTCCTTTTTTTTGAAGACAAATTTTTATTGAATTTTTTGTTTTTATATTACCAAAATTACCTGCTGTCTTCTTTCTCTGAGAACTATCCCTTATAACAAAGATTTTTTTTTTAAAGCAAAAAGGAAAAGAGGAAGAAGAACAAAAAATCAGCAACACATCAGTGTGATGAAAAAAAATATGACAGTGTATATACAGTGTTTCTCATTCGTAGATCTTCTCACTCTGCAAAGGCTTGGAGAGAGAAAGGAGGTGTCTTCTCATATCACTTCTTTGGAGCCAAGTTTCTGTGGAATTTTGCATTATTCATTTTTAGTTGTTTTGTGGTTGTTTAAAGCTTTTAAATGTGATGGCCCTTTACATATTTGAAAACAGTTATCATGTGCTCCTTTTACCAACTTGGTTACTTTCCTTTAGAATGTCTCTAAGGTTATTGATGTCCTTTCTAAAATATGTCTCCCAGAGCTGAGTTTCAGTTGTGATCTGATCTGGACTGCAGGACTGTTATTTCTCTCATTTTGGGTACCTTGGTGGGGATTCATAGGATCAGGTAAAGTCAAGGGAGGAAGGTGTAAGAAGAAAGAAGGTCTTATTATTGGGTTTAGACCCTTAACGTAGAGAAAATATTCATAATCTATTTGTAATATCAGAAAGCTAGAACTGAAATATGTGCCCAATGATGGGGCAGTGGCTGAACATTATGTTATATGAACAAATTGAAAAGTCATTAGGTCACAAAGAATGATGAATATGAAGAGGAAGTTTTGAAAATTTGGGAAAATGATGCAGAGTGAAGAAAGCAAAGCCAAAAGAACAATACACAGGATTGCAATGGAATAAGTACAACCAGCAGTAAAAGGCAATAAAGCTCAAGTTAAATACAGCAGACAATGTTAATATGGAATGAATAAAGTTAATACCTATCTCCTTATTTTCCAGCAACAATAAGTAAACTTCAGTTATTCACAATTATTCTTTCAGTCAGTTTTGCATAGCGTTTTGGGAATGTACTTGGTCAGGGGTTAGGGAAGCATCTGCTATGTTAAAATAAATTGTGTTGATTAAAAAAACAAAACAAAATTAACTACTGGAAAACAGTAGACCCATTAAAAAATCAAAGCTTGTCTTTAGGAAACTTGAGGCTGAGAACATATCCAAGAGTTGTCACTGGTTATTTATTCCAGATGCTACAGAAAAGTCAGTTAATACAAAGACTGAGAAAAGACTAACAGATTGAGCAGGGAAAAAATAAGTGGTGATTTTTAATCAAGAATTTTCAGTAGTGGTTGGAAGTAGAGGTTGGAAGATGGGTTGCAAGGATCGAGTAGTGAATAGGTAGTGAGGAAGTAGAAATAGTGAGTATAGATTACTCCTGGTAGGAGTTGAGAAGTATTCCAAGACAATATCTTGTGGGGATGGCAGGGTCAAGGGAATTTTTTTTTTAAGTATAGGAAAGACTTGAATATATTTGTGGTCACTGTAGAACAAGCCAGTATATAGGCAGAGATTGAAAATTAGAAAGTGAATCAACGACTGACTGGACAAATTCCAGAAGGAAATGAAAGTATTTGTCTTGGCAGGGAGAAGGGTGTGTATGATACGGACTAAAAGAGAAAGTGATCTATGAAGTTGTGGAATGGTTTTGAGGCATGAAGAAGGGAGAGGTGAATATATAAGCAAATATCCCTGTTTTATAAACAAAGAAGCTGGGATTACTAAGAGGTCATGTGAATTACCCATAGTCCTGTGGTGATTTGTGATGTCTAGGTATTATATGCCTTGAATCTGGTTTTCTGACTCCCAAATCAGTGCTCCATAGGGAAAGAAGGAAAGCAACAAGTATTTATTAAGCACCTAATGTGTGCCATACTATGCTAAAATGTTTTATAAATATTAGCTCACTTGATCCTCACAACCCTGGGAGGGAGATGCTATTATTATCTCCCTTTTATAGTGGCAGACTGAGGTTAAGTGACTTGCCCAGAATCACACTGGTATCTGAGACCAAATTTGAACTAGAGTCATATTGACTCCAGACCCATTGCTTTATCCATTGTACCACTAGCTGCCTCCACTAGACAGCAGCCAAAACAAATTAGATTGGTCAGTTCATTCATGTGGTAAAACTTGTAGCTCTATTCAGGCACAGCCATAGTAAACCCTGATTATGGCCTAGTAGAAAGAGATCATTGGAGCTGTAGTTAGAAGATTCAGATTTAAATATTGGTTCTGCTGTGTATTTAATCTGTGCCCTGGGGCAAGTTACATAATCATTGGGCCTCTATTTGCTCACTGTAAAGTGAGTTATGTTAGATGATCTCAAAAGACCTTTCTGGTTTCAAGTCCTGTGATTCATTTGTCTTTGGATCTAACAAAACTTTCCAACTCTGAGATTCTGTGATTTGCTCTATTAAGATATAGAGCTTAGTTCACAGGTTTAATTTAATTTTTTACCCTTTTTAAAAGCTTTTTTTTTGGGGGGGGGAATTTGTAACAAAATTCAGAACTTAAGCACCAACAATGAGCATTTTTCTGTATATATAGTAGAACAGAGAAAGGATTGTACATGAAGCTGCAAATATCTATTATATAGACTTAATTTTTAAAAAGTATATAAAAAGTCATGTAACTTTCAAAGTTGTTCTATTTGCTTTTTCCTTTTGGTCTTCTTTCTTTTCTTTTCTTTTTCTCTTTTTTTTTCTTGTGAGGCAGTTGGGGTTAAGTGACTTGCCCAGGGTCACACAGCTAGTAATGTGAAGTGTCTGAGGTCAGATTTGAACTCAGGTTCTCCTGACTCCAAGGCTGGAGTTCTATCCATTGCACTACCTAGCTGCCCCCTTTCTTTTCTGTGCAACTCATGTTGTTGCTATTTTTGTTGTTCAGTTGTTTCAGTCATGTCTGACTATTTGTAACTCCATTTGGGGTTTTCTTGTTTGTTTATTGTTTTTTTTTTAGGCACTTGGGGTTAAGTGACTTGCCCAGGGTCACACAGCTAGTCAGTGTCAAGTGTTTGGTCTGAGGCCGGAATTGAACTCAAGTCCTTCTAACTTCAGTGCTCTATCCACTGCGCCACCTAGCTGCCCCTCCATTTGGGGTTTTCTTGGCAAAGATACTAGAGTGGTTTACCATTTCCTTCTCCACCAAATTTTGCAGAGGAGGAAACTGAGACAAACAGGGTCAGGTGACTTTCACAGGATCACACAGCTACGAAGTGTCTGAGGCCAGTGTCCGAGCTTTGAACTCAGGAAGATGAGTCTTCCTGACTCCAGGCCCGGCACTCTATCCACTGAGTCACCTAGCTGCCTCTAGCTGCAGTTCACAGGTTTTTAAAAAACATTTCCTTCATGAAACTCTTTCTTTTAACACAGAAGAGAAGTTAAGCAAATTTGTCATGTATTGTTGTTATAAAGCTTTTATATCTTAGAGTATTTGAATGATCTTTTTGCTTTTGTATCACTTTTATTTCTGAATATATCCCTCCTCTATCCCCTAACCAGTGAGAGCCATGCCTTGTAACAGAATAAAAAAGAGAACAAGAAGTTCAGCATAACCAGCCAATTCATCGCCTAAGTCTGATAAACAGAGAAGTTAAGTGACATACACTAGGTCATTAAGTAGTGGAGGTGGAACTTGTGCTGCGGTCTTTTGATTTCTAATTCAGTGTTCTTTCTGCTCCATTAGGCTACCTCTCTATATTATACATATTTTAAGAAATATGACCTGGCTAAAAGTTTGTAAACGGCACCGTAACATTTTAAAAAAATGTCTGTTTTCTCTTTAGCGTTCACCTGTGTACTTCTTTCACATTTGAAGATGGTGAAGCTGGATATTCACACTTTGGCTCATCACCTTAAGCAGGAACGACTCTATGTGAATTCGGAGAAACAGCTGATCCAGAGGCTAAATGCAGATGTGCTTAAGACTGCTGAAAAGTTGTACCGCACAGCATGGATTGCCAAGCAGCAGAGGATTAATTTGGACAGGCTTATCATAACAAGGTATAAATATTTGAGCTCTTTACATTTATGACACACAGTAATTTTCTTATGCTTCTAAATTACATGGCATACCGAATGAATATGTTCCAGATATGTCACTGATATTTGGTCAGTATCAAGAGGGTTCGAGCAGAACTGGTTGTTCCACAACAGCTTAGAACTTGTGCACTTTTGTTTTACTTTCCCGTAGAGACTTGAGCCATTGCTGTAACACATCATATACTAAAATTGCTCACAGACTATGGAGAGTGGAATTTTCAGATATTGGCATTTATACTGTCAGATTAAAAAATATCCCTTTTTGTACATTTTGAGATGCTTACCTCTCCTTCAGTACTTGCTGTGTGGGATTTTTGCTTGTTGGCAAGTTTATGTGTTCTACACTTTGTATGTAGGAATGTTCCTTTTTTGGTGTTCAACCAGTTCAGAATTAAAAGAAATAACAATAAAAAACCAGTAATAAAAGTTTGTATGGATCTAGTTTGAATTGTCTCTTTCAGTTCTGTCTTTCAGTTCTTAAGTACACATAACAGAATGAATAATCTTACTTTTCATAAGTGATAGTTAATGTTCAGTGGTATTTTAGGCAGCTGATAAACTGCTTGTTGGTTGACTAATGATTGGTTTAAATTCAGCTAATATCAGAGAGAACAGTTGTACACAGTAGCTGCCAGTGCTCCATATTCTTTCTTTTTAAATCAAACTTGATAACATGCAAGTTCCACCCCACCACCATTGGGTGTATGATGTCACTGTGTATGATCTTACTGTTTCAATTGCTCAAAGGCTTAAATGGTTTAACAACTTGAGATGATATTCCTTGATAAATGAAAGTATTATTCACCTATTTCAATGGGATTTGTTGTGTATTTTATGTGTGTCTTTTAGTGCTGAAGCTTCTCCTGCTGAATGTTGCCAACATGCCAAGATCTTGGAAGATACACAGTTTGTTGATGGATATAAGCAGCTGGGATTTCAAGAGACTTATTATGGAGAATTCTTAAATAGGTTAAGAGAAAACCCTCGACTCATTGCCTCCTCTTTGGTTGCTGGAGAAAAACTGAACCAGGATAATACTCAGAGTGTTATTCATACAGTTTTTACCTCTCTCTATGGCAACTGTATCATGCAAGAAGATGAGAGCTACCTTCTTCAGGTTTTGCGATATCTGATTGAATTTGAACTCAAAGAAAGTGACAACCCTAGGCGTCTTTTGAGGAGAGGAACTTGTGCATTCAGCATTTTATTCAAGCTATTTTCTGAAGGGCTCTTTTCTGCCAAACTCTTCCTCACAGCAACATTACATGAGCCAATCATGCAGTTGTTGGTTGAAGATGAAGACCATCTGGAAACAGATCCAAATAAGTTGATTGAGAGGTTCTCTCCATCCCAGCAGGAAAAGCTTTTTGGAGAGAGAGGTTCAGATAGGTTCAGACAAAAGGTCCAAGAGATGGTGGACTTGAATGAATCCAAACTGGTGGCTTTGGTGAACAAATTTATTGGCTATCTCAAACAGAATACATACTGCTTTCCCCATAGTTTGCGGTGGATTGTATCACAAATGTATAAAACACTTTCCTGTGTAGATCGGCTTGATATAGGGGAAGTGAGGGCAATGTGTACTGATCTCCTCTTAGCCTGCTTCATTTGCCCTGCAATTGTCAACCCAGAACAGTATGGAATAATTTCTGATGCTCCCATAAATGAGGTGGCAAGATTTAATTTGATGCAGGTATGTATTTTTTGGTAATTTTAATAAGACATGCAGTCTTACATGGATTGATTTTTGACATTATTTCTAAGAATTATGAAAAAATTATAATGACAACTATTGATATTTCTATAGTGCTTTACATATATTATCATTTACTCTCCACCCTAACCCTATATGGTAAGTAGCTGGCTAGCATTTATGTGGTGTTTTAAGGTCTTCAAAGTGCTTTACAGATATTTTCTTGTTTTATTCTCACAACAACCCTGGGAGGTAGGTGCTATTATTATCCTTATTTTACAGATAAGGAAACTGAGGCATACAGGCTAAGTGACTTGTCCAGGATTACACAAATACTAAGTGTCTCTGGCTGGATTTGAAAACTGGTCTTTTTGACTTCAGGTCTATACTGTAACCATTAAAATAATAGGTAGCTTTTATATATGGTGTTTTAAGGTTTGCAAAGCTCTGCACATAAATTATTCATTTGACTCTCACAGCAACCCTTTGAAATAGGGGTATTATTATCCTCATTTGACAGATGAAGAAACAGAGTTCAAGAGAAATTAAGTGACCACACCTGTTAAGTGTCTGAGGTTGTCACATAAGTGGAAGAGTCCTGAATTAGAGCACAGGCCTTCTAACTTCAAGTCTGGTTGTTTTTTCCATATTGTGATATAGGAAATCAGTACAATTTATTTGGCAATATTCTGAGTCATCAGAATATTATCTCTGTCATCTCTTTTCCTTAAATTTTATCCCAGTCGATTATTTATTATAGTTAAGAAAAGCAGTGATTTCATCAGTGTGGTTAACTGCCATCACTATAGGTTTGATCTGGCTTCAGATACTGGCTCTGACACTTAGTAAATATTACCTCTTTGACTTTGGGCAAGTCATTAACTTCTCTGGACCTCATTTTGCTCATCTGTAAAGTGACAGGATTGGAGTAGATGACTTCTGAGGTCCTTTCTAGCTCTAAATTTTTGATCCTGTGTTATTGTATCCTGTGTGATGAGATACTGTCCAGATCTCACATTCTTTGTTCTCCTGTAGGATCTTCTAACTCTAAAATTCTGTGACTTAGATCATTATTATAATAGACTATCTCCTACTTTGTGGAGACGCTCTACTTTATCATTGTTCTTACACTGTGACACTCAGACCTGGGCAAAGTATTCTGTATGTGATCTGACCAGAGATTTGTGTGTAAGGGAAGAGCCAGGGCAGCTGTACCTCTATTAATGTATCCTAAGGATATATTAAATTTTTTTTGTTGGTGTATCATGCCATCGATTCACCAAGTTTCCAGTATACTTTTTTTTTTAGGTAAACTGCCATCTCATCATGCCTTTCTTATCTTGTAAAATTGATATTTAAAAAAATTTTTTAACTCTTTTTTGGGGGGGCAATTGGGGTTAAGTGACTCGCCCAGGGTCACACAGCTAGTAAGTGTCAAGTGTTTGGTCTGAGGCCAGATTTGAACTCAGGTCCTCCTTACTTCAGGGCCAGTGCTCTATCCACTGTGCCACCTAGCTGCCCCTAAAAAATTTCTTAAACTTACTATTTATTTTTAACGTACTTTTGTTTTTAAATTTTGAGTTCCAAAATCTCTTCCTCCCCTTCACCCTTCTCCCACGCTCTGAGGTGAGCAATATGATATCGATTATATATGTGAAATTATACACAACATTTCCATATTAGCCATATTTTTAAAAGAGCGAGAAAAATAAGGGAAGTGAGAAAATTATATTTCAGTTTGCATTCAGAGATTATTAGTTCTCTTTCCAAAGGTGCATGTAAGTCATTTGGAATTGTCTTGGATCATTGTATTGATCTGAGTAGCCAGGTCTTTGTGTCTGTCTTTTTGAAGTGTACCTCTTGTAAACAAGATATTGTTAGATTTTGGTTTTTAATCTATTCTGCTATTTGCTTCCATTTTGTGGGTGAGCTCATCCCATTCACATTCACAGTTACAATTACTAACTGAATTTCCCTCCATCTCATTTTCTTCTATTTCTTTACTCTCTGTTTTTTTCTTGTCTCTCCTCAAAAGTCTGTTTTGTTAACCCCTGCCTCTCCTAATCTGTCCTCCCTTTTATCATTCTTCCCCTTCCCCCTTTCTCTTATTTCCTTTCCTTCCTAGTTCTATATTGGGTAAGTTAGATTTCTATACACAACTGAGTATGTATATGCTTCCCTTTTTTAACTAATTCCAATGAGAGTGAGGTTCAAGTCTTGCCTGCCCCCTCTCCCTTTTCCTGTACCACTGTAAAAGCTCTTCCTTATGTGCTACTTTTATGTGAGCAAATTTTCCCTATTCCACTTCTTGCTTCTCCTTTCTTCCAGTGCATCCCTCTTTCTCACCCTTTCATTTTATTTAGGAGATCATTCCAAATAATCAACTCACATCCATGCCATCTGTCTGTGTAAACTTATTTTAAGTGCCCTAATAATGATAAAGTTCTTAGGAGTTACATGTACTGTCTTCCCATATAGGAATGTAAACAATTTTACCTTATTAAGTCCCTTATCAGTTCTCACTCATTTTTTTTCTGCTTCTCTTGAGTCTTGTGTTTGAATGTCTGATTTTCTATTTAGCTCTGTTTTTTTCACCAGGAATGCTTGAAAGTCCTCTCTTTCTTTTTAAAAAATTTTTATTTTAGATAAATACTAAAACTTAATGCATAATAAAAGAAGATAAAGAAACATTATAAACTTAAATATAAAATAAGAAAAAACAAAAAAAAATCATGTGACCAGCAGAACATAGGAGAGGATTCAAAATATATAGCAATAACTTTTCATCTCAAGAATGCCTGTATATTAAATACTGTGCATTGTGTTGAAAGCTGTCCATCTTTTCTTTGTTTCCTTGTAGGTTTTCTTTTGTTCTCTGCTGTATACTTTTTACTTTGTTCTTTTTTTCCCCTCCCTCCCCCCTACTCACTACCCCAAGGCTATAATTGAGCATTGGCTATATTTATATATGTGTATGTATATATAGATGTATATACACACACTTATATATACATACATATATAAACACATACTTTACTTAAGAGATTCTAGTCCTTACCTTTGTGTTTGTGCATATCTCTTTTTTCCTGTTTCTCTTAACTCCTCTACTTTACTTCTACCTGCTACCTTACCCTCTATGACTTGACCAGTTACTCCCACTCCAACAATGCCTCCGTTATTCTCTCATTCCCCTAAATCTAAATTCCTTTCTAGATCCCTCTTTTAGCCTATTCCCACATCATCCCCTCTAAAGATCTCTCCTTTATCTCGCCCCCTTCCTATCCCCTTAGAGTTTTATTTCTTTGTAAATTTAGAAGATTTTTATACTCATCTATTTATAGCAGCTTTTTTTTTTTAGGCAGTTGGGATTAAGTGACTTGCCCAGGGTCACACAAATGTCAAGTGTTTGGTCTGATGCCAGATTTGAACTCAGGTCCTCCTGAATTCAGGGCTGGTGCTCTATCCACTGCGCCTCCTAGCTGCCCCTTATACTCATCTAAATGTATATGTGTTTTCCCCTCTTAAACTCATTCCCAATGAGAATAGGTTTCCAGAACTAACAGCCCTTCTCCCGCATCTAATTCCTCTGTATTGGTTCTTCTCTTGTGCCTCATTTGTAAAAAATAACTACTCTTTTAGCTGTACTTGAATGGTTTTACTTTCTGAAGTCATATCATATTCAGGTCTACTCTACTCTTCCTTAAAAGTTACCTCAATACTAGTAACAACCTTAGACATAGGTTTTACATTTTTCATACATAAAAGGTAAACATTCTATCCTTATTTAATCCTTTATAGTTGGTCATTGGTATGTACCTTATATTTCTCTTGGCTCTTGTATGTTAAATCTTCTATTGAGTTCAGGGTTTGTTTGTTTTTTTAACAAAAACCTGAAAGGGGCAGCTAGGTGGTGCAGTGGATAGAGCTCCAGCTTGGAGTCAGAAGGACCTGAGTTTAAATGTGTCCTCAGACACTTGACCATAGCTCTGCAGCCCTGGACAAGTCACTTAACCCCATTGCCTAGCAAAAAAACAAACAAACACAAAAAAACAAAGACCTGAAAGGCTGACAGTAGCTCAAACATCCATTTTTTTTTTCATTTAGAATTATGCTTAGCTTTGCTGGGTATGATATTTTTGGCTGGAAGCCTGGTACTTTTGCTCTTTGATATATAGCGTTCCAAGACCTCCAGTCTTTTACTGTTGCCACTGCTAGGTCTTGTGTGATTCTAATTGTGGTACCACTGTATGTAAATTGTTTTTTTCTTGTTGCTTGTAATATTTTGTTCTTGATCTGGGGATTTTCAAAATTGACTATAATAATCCTGTGAGTTTTCCTCATTAGATCTCTTACAAGTGGTGATCAGTGGATTTTTTCTATTTCTACTTTCCCCTCTTGTTCTAATGCTTCAGGACAATTTTCTTTCATTATTTCTTGTATTATTGTATCAAGATTCTTTTTTTGATCAGAACTTTCAGGTAGTCCAATTATTCTTATGTTTTCTCTTTTTGATCTGTTTTCTAGATCTGTTGTTTTTCTTATAAGATGTTTCACATTCTTTTTAATTTTTTCATTATTGTGATTTTTCATTTCATCATCTCTTACAACTTACACTGGCTTCCCCTTGCCCAATTCTGATTTTCAAGGAGTTATTTTCTTACTTAAGATTCTGGATCTCCTTTTCTAATTAGTTGACTTTCTTCATAATCTTTTTGTTTTTCTTGTATTATTATTTTTCTTTTTAGTTTTTCCTCAATCTCTCTTGTTTGATTTTTAGTCTTTTTTAAGTTCTTCAGTAAATTCTTTTTGGGCAGGTGACCATTTGACATTACTCTTTGGGGTAGAAGAGGGTTTCTTTGCTTCAGTATCCTCTGAAGACGAACTCAGATCTTTTCTATCCCCAAAGTAACTCTCTGTGGTTGGATTCTTTCTCCTTTGTCTATGTATTTTTTCTTTAATAATTTAGCTTTTATAATCACTTACAGTGCTGGGGCATAGGGGATGGTGCCTCTGGCCTCTAATCCTCTTCAGTTCTCCCTTCTGACCTTGAACTCAAACCAAGAACTTCAGCCTCCTATAAGTGCCTACAGCCAATGAGGTCCCTGCCCCACTGCATCTGCACTTACCAGGCACGTGCTGGTTCCTTCTCGCCCCTACTGTGTCTCTATAGCACAGCTGGGTCTGGCATGGCCCATCAGCAGAGGTTCCCTCAGTTCTGATCTGGGGATTTTCCCCAGGTCAGGCACCCAACTCCCCTCACTGTCCCAGGGGTAAAGGTTCCTGTAGCTGGCCCTGAGACAGCCTCCCAAACTAGCTAACTCCAGGGCTTGCTCCTTGTTGTTTGGATCCTATCCTGGAGGTGTTAATTTCTTCCCGGGATTTTTCTTCAGATCTTCTCTAATTGTCCCAAGAGGACCCCTCTTCTCCCCCTACTCTTACTTATTTTCAGGGATCTAAGTTCTCCTAGAGGTGCTATTTTATCTCTTTTGTGGAGGAAAATTTTGAGAGCTTGAAATTTTCTGACCTACTCTTTCCAGAATCCTTTCCTGAAAGTCTTCTTTAAATTAAATAGCCATTTTTTCCTCCTGCAGTATTATACTCAATTTTGCTTGGAGGTGATTCTTGGTTGTAATCTTAGCTTCTTTGTCTTCTGGAATATTGTATTCCAAGTCCTCTGCTCCTTTAACTTTTTTTTTTTGTGAGGCATTCGGGATTAAGTGACCTGCCCAGGGTCACACAGCTAGTAAGTTTCAAGAGTCTGAGACCAGATTTGAACTCACATCCTCCTGACTCCAGGGTCTGAGCATTATCTACTGTGCCACCTAGCTGCCCCTGCTCTTTTAACTTGGAAACCACTAAATCTTGTATAATCCTGACTGTGGCTCTATAATATTTGAATTGTGTTTTTTTTTTCTGACTGCTTGGAGTATTTTCTTTTTCATCTTTGCTTTGGAATTTGGCTCTAATATTCCTGGGAGTTTTAATTTTGGGATCTTTTTCAGGAGGTGATTAGAAGATTCTTTTAATTTCTATTTTACTCTCTGGATCTAAGATATTGGGGCAATTTTCCATTATAATTTTTTTAAATGTGATATCTAGGCTCTTTCTTTGATCATGACTTTCAGATAGTCTAATAATTCTTTAATTTTCTTGGTCATTTGTTTTTCCAATGAGACGTTTCATATTTTCTTCTATTTTTTCATTCTTTTGACTTAGTTTTATTGTTTCTTGATGTCTCATGGAGTCATTAGCTTCCAGTTGCCCCATTCTAATTTTTAAAGAATTATTTTCTTCATTGAGCTTTTGTACCTCTTTTTTCCATTTGGCTTATTCTGCTTTTTAAGGAGTTCTTCATTGGATTTTTGTGCCTCTTTACCAAGCTGTTAATTCTCTTTTCATAATTTTCTTGCATCACTTTGGTTTCTTTTCCCAATTTTTCCTCACTAGTCATCTTTCTTTAACTCTTCCTGGAATTATTATTGAGCTTGTGTCCAATTAGCATTTTTCTTTGAAGCTTTTTTAATAGTTATTTTCCCATTGTTGTCTTCTGAGGTTATGTCTTGGTCTTCCCTGCCCCCTTAGTAGCTTTTTAATGGTCAGATTCTTTTTTTGTTGTTTGCTCATTTTTCTAGGCTATTTCTTGACTTGGAACTTTATGTTAACGTTGGGCTCCGCTCACCTGGAGACGGTGAGACCCTGTCCCAAGCTTCAGTCTTTTTCCTGCTGCTGTTTTCAGAGCTAATTCTAGAGGTTTGCAAGTTTTGGTTGATTTCAGAGTGGTTTGATCTTGGGAGAGGTATGGTCACTGATCTCCTGGTCTGCATTCTAGTCTTTGTCTAGGAAGAGCCCTTTGTCCCTTGTAGCCACAAGCACCAGCACTTTTGACTTCTCTTTGCCTTAGAATTGGGACCAGGGTCCCTGCTCTTTGTGATCAACCCACTAGTGCTCCTCTCCACCCTGGAACCACAACCCAGAACTGCATATGGGCAATAGAATTGTCAGTCAGTGTCAGCTGTGTATCTGGTACCAGGAAAGGGTGCCCTATAATATCTTTGTGTCAGTTGTCCAAGCCTCTTACTAACTGGGTTGAGAATTCCTGAAGGTGCTGCTGTTTCTGCCACGTGGTGCAAGCTCTGGATGAACTTCTACCCCCAGTGTTACAAATTTTTCCTGTGAACTTCCTGCAGACTTCTTAGGCCAAAAAAAGTCACTCTGACCTTTTGTTGGCTGTACTCTCAAAATTTGATTTGAAGCATTATTTTAAAGTTGTTTGGAGGGGAATGTTGGGAGAGTTCAGCTGGGTTTCCTCTAATCCACCATTTTAGTTCTAAGATATTTTCTTTGAAATTGATATTTTTGAACTCAAGTGTAAGGCTTTAATTGAATTTACTTTTAATTGATTCAGACATGATGCTCCAGTTCATCATCATTTTCTTTTTAATCAAGGCATTATCATCTAGTGTGTTAACATTCCTCTTATCTTCATTTGTCATCTTCATACTTTATGAGCACCTGTCTCTTTATTTTATTCTTAGATAAAAATGTTGGAAAGCACAGGGCCACACACAGATCTCTGGGGATTCCACCAAAGACCTGTCAGGTTGACTTCAATTCACAGTCAGTGTATAGGCTTTTCTGATTCCATTTTCTTAATTTTCCTTCTTATAGGTTTGTATTTCTTTATCTCTTTTATTTGTTACAAGGTCATAGGTCATAAGATTTAGAGTTGAAAGGCGCCTTAGAGATAATTTAATCCAATTCCTTATTTTATACATGAGAAAGCTATGGGGAAGGTATGATTAGTGGCTTGTCTAAGGTCACACAGCTGGTGATTTGCCAGTCTAGATCCATTAGTGGATAATCTTTTGTTTTAGAACATATATCCCTAATATCATTTCTGATTGCAGGTTGGCCGCCTTTTACAGCAGCTAGCAATGACTGGCTCTGAGGAGGGAGATCCTCGAGCAAAGAGCAGCCTTGGTAAATTTGACAAAGTAAGAATAAATGTGGATGTTATTGTTTTTAGGAATCTGAGAAGTCTCATTTGACATTTAATCCTTTGATTTTATAAGTTATTTTTGTAGTAAATGATTCTCTTATTTGTATCTGATCTAGGTTATATTTGGATGTTAATACTACTGATAGAAAAGATCGTTAATGGAAAAGATCACTTTAAAAAGTTTCTTGCTCTGCTATGTAAAAAGAATTAAATTTATGCAGTTTAAGGAAGATAATGGAATCATAAAAGTGGTTTTTATAAAACTTTCCTTTTCTTTTATATAAAAGAACCTGATTTATAAAAAAGAAATTACCATTTTATTGTATATAGGAAAGTTAAGCACAAATAATAGCATAACTTACATGTATTTCATATGTTGACATATGACATTTTTTAGTTTTTTTATAAACCGTTTGAAGAAGCACATTTTGTGACATTACTCTCAGTATTGTTTTATAATTGTAGTGTCAGTATTTTAACTGAGCTCTTTTCTTCTGTCAACAGAGTTGTGTAGCTGCTTTCCTTGATGTTGTAATTGGTGGCCGGGCAGTAGAGACTCCCCCAATGTCTTCAGTCAACCTTCTAGAAGGGTTGAGTAGAACTGTGGTGTATATGACCTACAGCCAGCTCATCACTCTGGTAATAGCTTTGTTCTTTGTTGGGACTTCTTGTGGTATCATGTTTTTGAAATTCTTTATAATATAATTACAAACCTTATGAAATTTAGCTTAATTCATCTAGTGTTTATTTAATGTCTCCTCTGTGCTAGAAACTGGTGAGTCAAAGATAGTAAAGATAATCATTCCCTCAAGAATATTACCTTCTTTTGGGGGAGAGATCAACACATATACCATTAAGTAAACACACAAATAAGTACAAAATAATTTCAAGATAGAGAGCCTACTGAAAACTGGGTAGGAAGGGGTCAGGGGTAGAAGGCATCAGAGAAAGCCCAAAGTAGAAGATGGCATTAGAGCTGTGCTTTGAACAAAGTGAGAGAGTTTATGGGACAGAGGTGAGGAAAAGAAGTCCATACTCTAGATATGTGCAAAAGCACAGGATGGAATGTTATGTCTATGGAACAGTGAGGAGACCAGTTTGAATGGAATAGAGACCATATGAAAGGAAGTAATGATAAATAAGATTGGGAAGGTAGGCAGGAGCCAGGTTATGGAGGGTTTTAAATGTCATAGTGAGGAGTTGGTATTTTATCCTAGAAGCAATAGGGGGCTATTGAAGATTTTTGAGTGGAGGTGGGAGGTGTCCAGATAGTTAACTATTCTTATGAATATTAATACTAGTTCATACTAGCAGAAGTGCTATATAATGAATAGAGAGTAGACTTTAGAGTTAGGAAGACGTGGGGTTCAAGTTATACTTCTGATACTTATTGACTACATTACCCTGGACAAGTCAGTTAACTTTCTTGGTGTCTTAGGCAACTCTATGAAACTGTGAATTGCAGAGTGGGTGCCTTTCTTCATTAGTAAAGGGAGTTTTTGTCCTAGGGTTTTCCCATACCAATGAGATTATAAGTCCTGTCCAAAAAATAATTCATTTTTTAAAAAAGTAATGGACATAGGTAATTTTAGGAATCATCTAGTCAATGTCCTTTATTGATTCCATGAAAAGATAATTTAAGATCAATGTCCTAGCAGTTTTAGAACTTTCTGTCACAAAAAAGTCAGAGAGGTCAGTAATGCATAATATAATAGGACTCAATTATGGTGTGCTTTAACTCACACAAGGGAAGGCCCAAGTTTGAAAAGGAAATTCTAGAGACGTGGAGAAATACAGATGAAGGTTGAAGGATGTATGCATCTTCATCTTCAGAGAGGAGAGGTCAGATACGCCTGTTTTTCATTTGCCAAAGATCAGTGTGTGTTTGTATTGGTTGAGAAGGTGTGTGGAGCAGGTCATGTCAGGTGCATGGTTTTCAGACCAGGACCACTGTAAGTCTTATAAGACAGGGGGAGGTTATCACTCATGTGTGTCTGGTCAATTTCCCACCTCTGATTTCACAGGCGAGGAAAGACAAAGGATTGGGTAGTGAATTAAATCAAGAAAGCAAGCATTTAGTATGGAAGTTGTGACAGAAGATGGGTAGAAGGGGTTAGATGTTAGATATCAGAAAGGGGCTATTCCAGACCAGAGACAGCTTGCTACAAGTGAGCCTTAATGTGTTTTTGTTTTATTTTGTTTTGTTTTCGTGAGGCCATTGTAGTTAAGTGACTTGCCCAGTGTTACACAGCTAAGAAGAGTCAAGATTTGAACTCAGGTCCTCCTGATACCAGAGTCGGTGCTCTATCCACTGCGCCGCCAAGCCGCCCCCTAAATGAGTTTTGAAGATAATTTTTTTGGATTGTCAAGGAAGTGTCATTAGCTATTATTTTTCATCTCAGGTTCTCAGCAGAAGGATGTTATAGCAGGATTTTGAGACTTTGTAGTATGGTTTGGTTATAATGTATTAATGATTTTATTGCACAGTGGTCTTAGTGGGAATGGTGTTAGATTGTGTGTGTGTGTGAGAAAAAGAGACTAGGTATTAGAACACTGACTAAGGACTTATTTTCTTTGCAGGTTGGTTTTATGAAAAATGTCATGTTGGGTGACCAACTGAGAGAAGATCGAATGGCTCTTGAAAACTTGTTGGCAAACCTACCCCAGGCCAAGCCAGGAAAAAGTAACAGCTTGGAAATGACTTCGTATAATACTCCTCAGTTGTCTCCTGCAGCTACTCCAGCTAATAAAAAAAATCGCTTACCCTTAGGTGAGTATAGGTTAGTGAGGAACTGCATCTAGCCCAGCTCTGTTCTAACTTCAAGTCAGTTACACAAACATTTATTGAGCATCTTCTTTGTTGGAAGTCACTATGCTTGGTGTTTGTGGCATTGTATATAGAAAATAATTATCATCGAATGCAGGGTTAGGGAATCTGTGGCCTTGAGGCCACATGTGGCCCTTTAGGTCCTCAAGTGTGGCCCTTTGACTGATTCCAAACTTCACAGAACAAATCTCTTTAATAAAAGGATTTGTTCTGTGAAACTTGGACTCAGTCAAAAGGTCATATCCAAGGACCTAGGTGGCCACATGTGGCCTCGAGGCCACTGGTTCCCCACCCCTGGTCTAGTGGGTAGCTTGTAACTAACTCATTTAGGCATTCCCTGACCAATGGTACTTATTAATTATAACAAAACCCTATTGTGGTGATGTGAAATCCCATTATATAATTTTGTAGTTATCCAGTATAGAAGTTAAGCATTTGTACCTCATTGTCCTTAAGTCACCTGAGTGACAGTATGTTTCCTGTCCCCCTTTTGTTAGGTGGGACTATACCTGCAAATAAAATAGTAGATGGTAAGGTATGACAGTGTTTTTATTTAGTATTTCTTCTTTAGCTGTTGTCTTTGCCGTGGCTGTGGTGTAGTGAAAAAAACTCTGATTCTGGAGTTAGAAAGGAGTAGTTTGCCATAAGGTTTGGCTGATACAGATAAGCTGGAACGTCTTTAAGTATGGTTCACCTTTGGGCTTTATGTATCTGCAGTCCAAGGCTAACCTAGCTAAGGATGAAGGACCTCCTCTCTGAATTTTAGAAAGTTGGCCTCTAGATGATAAATGTTTTGTTTGCTTACTTTTGGTCTTATCACCTTGTCCACCATGGAGTGGACAGCTGTTATCTGTGTTGGTAGAGGGAAAGTCCATACTGATGAAATCTGATTTTCTGAGGCCAAAAGTCAAATAACAGTTTGTTCTAAAGCAGCTCATTTACTGAATAATGTCTTAGTATTTTGTACTTACTTTTAATCTAATTCTGGCCAATTCAGGGCTTTGCTGTGTTGAATCTTAGGAATATTAGTGTTTTAATTCCTATTAGTAACTAGTATCATCATGTTATCTTTAAAATTAAATAATATTAGGAATACTAATACTTCAGAGAACTCTGATTTCATTGCTGTGAGTTTTCCTTCTACTGATGTAGATCCTAACCTCAGTAGGTTTTAGTAGACTGTTTTCTTGAGTCACTATGGTTGTGGGGGAAAAAAGTCATCTTCTGACGGCCAGTCTTCTGGTAATAGGCCTCAAGATGGTAGATACAAATCTGTTATTGATCCCCTTTTTTGACTCCTTCCATGTTGTTTGGCCTTGCTGGAGCTTGTGTTGACATCAGCATGCAAGTCTCAAGGATGCATTAGAAAATTATTGAAGCAGAATAATAGTAATGATTGCTTATATGTATAGTGTTTAATCATTTGTGCAGTGCATGTGTTATATTTTACAAATGAAAATGAGTCTGTGATTTGCCTAATGTAATGCATATAGTATAGCTAAGAAACAGAACCTTTATTATCTAACTGGATCACCTGCTTTTTCCATTACATTGTTATATTGCATTTGTACTTTATGTGAGATTAGAATATCAAGGGCGTCTATTCTTTAAAAAGGAAGAAAGGAATGATGTTTATTAATTTGGAGTTAATCATGTCCATAGCTTATTTCAGTGTAACAGCTTTCTCTTGTTATACTCTGAAACTATTTTAGGGTTAAAACTAATGGAAAATAATTTTTAAATGTTTCCCCATAATTCTTTTATGAAATTGATACCAGATCATTGCATTTTATTTCACATTTCTAAAAATGTTTCTGTTGTTCAAAGGGTTGATTTTCTTTCTGTTTAATGCTGTCGAACCCCAGGACAACAGTTAGCAGCCATCACTGCATGGGATCCCTCAGCCACCAATCTCACAGCTCACATTACTCTAGTAACCCCATTTGGTGGGTAATAGGCTCTCTTTGTTCTATTTTAAAAAATTATTTCACAAATTATGCTTCATGTGCATGTGTTACTTGTTTTGTGTAAATGACTATTTGAGATTTAGATATTTTAAGGTCCTCGTGGCATTTGTCCCTTAAAATTCGCACATGTCATCTAAGGAATGTATTTAATTTGAATTCTTTTTTCTATGTCATTGTATTTATTTTGTACCTTTGTGAAATAAGTAACCAAAGGAGAATTTGCCTCCTTTTATAGTGCAAGTTTTTATTTGTAAATATATCAAGATTTATCTTTTACCTACAAAATAATAAGATACTGTCTCATGATATTTATCAATTGTGACACAATACATGTAAGAGAAACAGGGTTTAGTTAGATAATCAAGTCAATTTTTACAATATTCTTGTACACTACAACCTATATTGAGTTGCTTGCCTTTTCAGTGAGGGTGGATGAGGAGGGAGAAAGAGAGAAAATTTGAAACCTAAAGTTTTAAAAACATATGTTTAGAAAAAAATGTTTTCACATGCTACTGGGAAATAAGAAATAGAGGAAATGGGGTACAGAAGTCTATCCTGCCCTACAGGAAAATAGAAGGGGAAGGGGAGAGAGATAGAAGAGAGGACAGACTAGGGGAAGGGATATTCAGAATGCATGCCATCTTAGGGTGGGGGGAGGGGGAGATGGGGTGAAAATTTGGAATTCAAAAACTTGTGGGAGTGAATGTTGAAAACTAAAAATAAATAAATTTATATTAAAAAAATATTCTTGTACGCTGAATGTTGACATAGGCTATATGTTATGCTTTCTTGTAAATTGAAATACAATTAGGGTTTGCTTCATTAATTAAGTACTCTGAATTTTGAAATAGAAAGTGTTTTTTTTTTATCCCCTCAGTCAAGCTTTACACTTAAAGCATTTCACAGAGTTTCAGTGCTAGAAAGGACCTTGGAGGTCATCTACTTCAACCTGTACTTAATCGTAAATCTCTTCTACAACATTCCTAATAAGAGGTCATCTCGGATTTTGCTTGAAAATAAATCCACTCTTTCCAGAGATAGCCCACTCAGATTTTGAATAGCTTTCTTTGTTAGGAAGATGTTCTTTAAATGGAGCCAACACCTATCTCTCTGCAGCTTGCATTTTGCTACTAGTTCATCTTTTTAGAGTGGAGATGAGCCAGTGGAGTCCCTTTTCCATGTGATAAAAAAGATCATATTTAATTTTGTCAATATTTAATTCTGAAAGGTGGCAATGTGATAAGTTAGTTTGTTTTTATTTCTGTTCCCTTACATCTTATCCTGGAAGTAAGGTAACTTTTGATCAAAGGGATATTGGAAAACCTTTGTTTTTCCAGTTGTCTTTGTTACAGTGTAGTATATAATTGTCATTAAAAGAGGAGTTTTTGTTTGTTTACAGTTAATACTTATGTTTAATGTTATGGTTCACTGAAAGAAGGTTGAATTGTCTTGTGAAGAGCAGAGTTCATAAGTTTGGCATCTGATATCCTCTAAAACTTCTTTTGAGGTCAGTGAATTTCACATCACCAAATATAGGCAGAGGGTAGGTGACCATATTTGTTAATGAGGTGGTAGAGTAAAGGTTGGACTAGATGACCTCTGAGGGCCCTTTTAACCCTTAAAATTCTGTGATTACATTATAATATTGATTAGTAATTTTCCAAAGAACCATTGGATTCTTCAACTCTAGGAGAAGAATAGATAGTGCTTTGACTTCTGGGAGCCTACTTGATAGGCTGATAGTCAGTTTTTGGCTTATAGGAGGGAAAAGGAAAGGGAATAGTAGCCAGATCTTTCTTAAAGTCTTGAATTTGACAAGAAGGCACAGTCTTTAAATTCAAACATAAGAAAAATTTCCTGGTTATATTTTTGTACATTAGGCTATTTGATTAGCCCTTCGAGAGAATTTATGAAGAGAGAGGGACAGAGGAGGACTCTCTCCCAACTCCTCTCTTCTCTTTTTAAATTCTTCCTCCTTGGTCTCTAACTCCCATGAATTCAGCTATCATTTTTGTATAAATTACTTTTAAATCTATATACTCAGGCTTCTTTTGAAGTCTAGCCCTCTATCACTTTGTGCTTGCTGGACATCTCCACCTAGTTGTCTGTTGGCATCTAAAAAGTCAACATATCCAGAGCAGCATTTTACCTTACCCTAAACTCACTTCTCCTTTTGACTTTATTTAAGCACCACCATTGTTATACAAGTTTACAGCCTTGGAGTCAGGCATAACTCTTCATGCCCTTTCACCCCCATGTCCTATCAGTAGCCAAGTCCTTTTGATTTTGTTTACTACATCCCTTCTCTCTGTCCCTTCCCACCATTCACACAGCCACTATCTTGTTTCAGGCTTCATCAACTTTTATATGGACTGTTGTAATAACTTCTGGCCTCAAGTGTCTTTCCCTCTTCACATCGTCCTCTTCACATCGTCCTCTTCACAGCTGCTAAAATGTATTACTGAAGCATAGGTCTAATTATGTCTTTGGTGTGCTCAAGAAGCTTTTGTGCTTCCCTGTTTGCTCTAGGACAAAATACAAATTCATCTGTTTGATGTTTAAACTCCCTTACCATGTGGCTCTAGCCTTTCTTTTCAGGGTGATTTTGCACATTTCTTCTTCTTACACATGAGATATTTCAGTCAGACTGTTAGAAATAGACCCCCCTTGAACCTCCTCAGCAGGGTTGAGAAGTTAGCCAGGCAAGCTGTGGCAGCCTGTTGCTTTCCCAGTTGCAGTGCCAAGTGGAGTCTGCTCAGTGAAGAAACTCCAGAGTGAACTGGGTGCACCCCCTGGTGGGAGAGTCAAGCTTTTATACTGTTAGTATGAGTTTGCTCCTCCCATCAGAGCTAGGATTGGACCAGTTTATCTGAGTTATGCTCTTCCTGAACCGCCTATCTCATGTTCCTCCTTGTCATGTTAATCCCTCCCAGTTCTTATGTCCCATGTTCAAAAATGGCAGCTATCTCCACCCTCAGGGTGTGTCACTTCATATTCAAGAAGATTATTAAGCAAGAGGGTTGCAACCTTTGGTCTCCAGGGCCCTTTTTAAGGAACTAGTTGTTTGTTTTATTTGTAAGGCGGTTGGGGTTAAATGACTTGCCTAGGGTCACACAGCTAGTAAGTGTCAAGTGTTTGGTCTGAGGCCAAATTTGAACTCAGATCCTCCTGACTCCAGGGCCGGTGGTCTATCCACTGTGCCACCCAGCTGCCCCTAGAACTAGTTGTTTTGCAGAATGTCTGGAGCACTTTCTGATTGGTTGAAGGACTATCCACAAGACCTTGGAAGTCCTGCTCAGAATTCCCTTGTTCTGCTGTGGAAGCCTAATTTCTAATCCTTTCCCACAAAACTGACCTAGTTCCTGGTTCATCTCCTCCTTCCATATTCTACTCCCTCACCTTGACCTCTGAAATCCTTAACTTCCTTCAAGATTCAGCTTATGTACTACCTCCTACAAGAGGCTTTCCCAATTCCCTCAGTTGTTAGGATGCTGCTTGTATTGATTTTCCTTACGTTTTTCGTTTACTTATCTGTGTACATACTATTTCCCACCAGCAGAATATTCACTCCTTGCCGAGGGCAAGGACTGTGTTTGTTTTTGTCTTCCAAGTCTTTGGTGGCTCTAAATATGGCTGGCACCCAGTAGTCACTTAACAAATTCTTGTTAAATTTGAATTTGAAAAAATAATTCGAATAGTTTCTGTTTCTATAATGCCTTATTTATAATTTACAATATGATCTTCTCACAGTAGTTCTTGGGAGTGGTGCATGTATTATTATTTCCATTTTACTGATAAGAATACTGTATTTTAAAGAAATAAAGTTACTAGCTCATGGCCACAGTCATAAGAGGGGATGGTGCTAGGCCATGAACCTTGTTCTGACTCCAGTTCTAATGCTCTTTCTCTACAATACTGTTTAACCTAAAGTTTAGCTCATTTGTATAATAGAGCCTAGTTAACGATCTGCCCCTTCATATCCTCAACAGCACTCTGTTAGTCAGTTACCATGGACTATTGTGTATTATCATTATTTATGTTTGGTCTTATCCTTCTCCTAAAGTCTGAGCTTCAAGACTGCATCTAATCTTTCTGTCTCTCCCAGCCTAGCATACAGTGCTCTGTGGGAATTATTTATTCATCAGTTTCTACAGGAAGATAATGTTCATATTCTAGGAAATAAGACCTGATGAGAGGGTGTTTTTATTACCACCCATATGCACATTGACTGTGAAACAAATCTACTCATTTAAGGTTAACAGACGTTTATTGATCACCTGCTGTGTTCAGAATTCTGTGCTTGGTGTAAGGAGAATACAGAATTTAAATAAGACATAGGGATAGTTTGGAACTGCAGTGTAACTTAGAGATCATCTAGTCCACCTCCTTTGCTTTACAGATAACAGAATCTAATGCCCAAAGAGGGAAAATGACTGTATACAGATTACTCAGGTGGAAAGTAGCAGACTTGGCATCTTAATCTATGTTCTCTGAATTCAAGTCCAAAACTCTTTCCATAATACTATAACATTTCCTGGTATTATTTTGGGCCTTGCTGTCATGCAGCTTGTGCTCTCAGAGGAGGCTAAGACATATTGTAGAAATAATTGTACTATGTAGTAATATTTGACTGAGTGCTTTGTGAGAGATGGGGGGGTAAGATCATATTTCATATTTTAGGTATGCTACTTAACGTAGTATTTCTGTCTTTTGTACTGGGATGTTTAATTTTGAATTCCATTTTGCATAATTAGAAATTTCTACTTGAACTCTTGAAAAAGGAGTCAGTAATGTTATGGTAGATTAGCAGGATAGTCCTACTTTTATGTCATCCATAAGTGCAATCTGTATTTTGTCCACTCTTTTTTGTGCATGTGCAAGCATTCTATGTTAAGTTTATTTTGACTTTTTATTTGTGAGTCTTTTATGTTATTTTTAAGTTTTCCCTTATCTGTGAGCCATTTATGGGTCATTTAAAAAATTTCCTCAAAAGTTGTATCTGAAATTTTTTATTAGCAACTCGGAGCAGAAGTCGTACCAATATGCTAATTGATCAGCACCCAGACCATGATGGATTATCCAAGAGACGATTCAGGAAGTGCAGCCAGAAGAAGTGTTGGTCATTTCTTTGGGGACAGGCCCCCAGCTTACTCCAGGCATGATGTCAGAAAATGAGGTATGGCTATTTTGCCGAATGTTAGGTATAGTCCTCAGTTTTATAGTAATAAAAATTCCCACTTCTGTAGTGCTTTCAGGTTTAAAAATGCTTTTATTTCAGTCGTCCTGTGAAATAGCCTGAGAAGTACATGGATTATTATCACTTTTTAACTGAAGAAACTGAAGTTCTTAGGTAAAATGACTTGCCCATGGTCACTTAGTGTTAAAGGTAGAAATTGAAACAAGTTTTCTGACCCCAAATTCGTTATTCTTTTCACTGTGCTATGTAATTGTTTTATATTCTTTCTTTCCACATCTGTTTTCCTTAGGAGGAACTTTCTTCATGAAGTTATTTATTATAAGGATCTTTCTTTGATGGTTTTGACAATTCAGGATGCTTTGTAAATATAGCAAGTAGAAGTACTGATGTTAGCAATGTGAAGGCCCAAGTCTGAGTTTGAGTCATAACTGTGACTTACTGGCTTTGTGGCCTGGGGCAAGTTTCTCTGATTCAGGACCAAGGTTCTTTCCATTATACCATCTGCATCTTTTGAAATCACTCTGAATGTCAAGTGTCCTTTTCAAGCTTCTGTGAGCACTTGAACAAATAGGCAAGAGGCATTATTCTTTTTTTGCAGATAAAACATATTATTCATGAATTTTTATTAAGAATTTATTATTCTTAAAAATGATTTGTGATTTTTTGTAGTTGTGGATTACCTTTTCTGTAACTGACTGGGTTTATCTTTAGGCAGATATGATCTGTCTCTGGGCATTTATGAAACTTACAACGTGATATAGGGCCTGCCTGAACTTGTTGTCCACTGGTATAACCTTCTAGAACCTAGTACAGCATAAATTGAGGCAGACCTTACATTTTGACTCTAGTTTGTAGAATGGATATGGTACAATGGATAGAGTGTTGGGCCTGTAGTTAGGAAGACTCGTCTTCCTGAGTTCAAACCTGGTCTCAGACACTTACTAGCTGTGTGACTCGAGACAACTGCTTAACCTTATTTGCCTCAGTTTCCTCATCTGTAAAATGAGCTGGAGAAGGAAATGGCAAACTACTCCAGTATCTCTGCCAAGAAGAACCCAAATGAAGTCACGAGGAGTTAGACACAACTAAAAAACGACTGAATAACAGCAGAAGAAGTAGAAGGATCACGTTGAGAGCAGTAGAGCTTTTTATTACTGTGAGTTTCCAAGCAGAGCCTTTTGGATATGCAAGTTGGAGATCTCCCCAACTCCATGGTTCTCTCTGAGCCCTAGTTTCACTATTTCTGAAATGAGGGCAGTGATTTATACATTGCCACCCAGTAGGGTTGTTGTAAGGAAAGCTCTTCATAAACCTTAAAGTATTGTAGCAACGTGAATTTTTATTGCAAAATATTTATTGTTTAATTTAAAGAGAATGAATAAATATATTTTCAAGTAGATTTTTAAAAGAAATTGTACAGTGTAATTGTTTATACTGTATTTGACATTATAATGTACTAGTGCTTAAACTATTAACAATTGGTTATTTAAATATAGATGTTAAAACGACCTTTCTATGGATTGGAATTTCTTATTTTTTCTCCTATGTATTTCCAACATTTGCCTGGAAAATAAGATACTTAAGGTTCAAATTCCTGCTGTGCCTCCAATTTGCTGGTTGACTTTGAATAGGTCATTTAATCTTTTAAAAAATTGGACATCTAATTCAAAGATGAGTCAGGAGGATTGTGGTGAGAACTAATAAAAGTATTTTGAAAGTGCTTTACAAATATAAGACATTGTAAAATGCATCTTGATTAACATTGAGAGATTAGGAGCTGGGGTTAGCAGCAATATTGAACCTTCATATGTGGCCAGATTCTGTAAAGCTAAGTGCAAGCTCAACTCACACTAACTTACAGTGTTTTCTGTTTCCAAGGAAAAATTTGAAAAATTTTATGGTATCTCAACAATTTATTCTTTTTAAAAAGAGAATCACAGAAAAATAATTTGCTCAAATATAATCTTTCCTGTTGCCAGTTTAATTTCACAGACAGATCTCTCTTAACATAAGTGGACCATTCTGCAGACCTCTATATAAAGTGATTTTGATGTAATGCAAATTTGCCTCTACTCACCCACTTTATTTAGCCTATATAACAAAGGCATACACAACATAATACCTTTATGCAAGTCACAAAGTGTACTAAAATGCAGACATACCATGATAATAGACAGGATAATGAAATGAAAGATAAAATTAATGATAAAGTATGCACAGTATAGCACAGTAAAATTAACACAGGTGTGTGTATGTTGCTTCTTCCCCACCCACTGTGCCTACCCTTTGTCCACTGGCTGTGCAGTTTTTTTATGAAGGTATTGAGAGATATTTGGACAGTGGCTCTCTCTTTTTTTCCCCTCATATATCTGACAATAGCAAGCAATATTATCCTTAACTAGTCTTTTAACTTTTGAAAATCTTAAAGTATTTGGATCTGTCATTTTAATACAAGAAAAAAATTTCAATCAAATGATGAAATATTTCTGCCACCTATTTTTTTGTGAGCCTTTTTTTTTAAACCTCAGGTTCCAAAACTTCTCTTTCTTCTTCTGTAATCTTTGTAGCTAGGAGTTCATTTGACAGTTCTTCATGAGACTGAATCAACTCTTCTACATTCTCATTTACTTCTAGCTCCAATTCTTATGCTGATTTTATAATCTTCTTACTAACTTCTTTGAATGTTTTATCTTTGTCAAATCCATGCTTTTTTCCAAACTCTTTTCGTACATGTTTCTGTTACATCTTCCCATGCCTTTCAGAATTCTTTTTGTAAAATTGAATTTGTGTGATATGAGTTTACATAAAGCAAGAGCTATCTGTACTTATTCATCCAACTTGACACTGGGTCTCCCTAGTTCCAGTAGCTGGAGGGTCAGTGGATAGAGTTCTGGGCCTATAGTCACGAAGATTCCTCTTCCTGAATTCAAATGTGGCCTAAGATACTTTTTGACTGTGTGACCCTGGACAAGTCACTTAATCCTGTTTTCCTCAATTCCTCATCAGTAAATAATCTGGAGAAGGAAATAACAAACAACTCCATTATCTTTGCCAAGAAAACCCCAAATGGGGTCATAAAGAGTCAAACTTAACTGAAACAAGTGAACAATAGCAACTTTCTAGATTGCTTAGATTGGAAGTGCAGTGGCCACTTCTGGGCCTAATACTGATCATCACAGAGGCTTTAATTAAATGCTTCATTTTTCTGACCTGGGGCAGATCGTCCCTCTGCGGTCAAGCCTGGTGGCCATTTGATTCTAGCGTCTCACACTTTGGTACTGGATTTAGTGAGGACACCCAGTAGACTTTAGCCTTGCTGCAGCAGCTCAGAATCCCTGGAGTCAGGCCTCAGCCTTCCCAGAAATAGAACTTCAGGAATGTGTCATGGAGCTCAGCCTTCCTGTTGATGTTCATTTCTAAGAAAGATTGTTAGGGAAGTTATAAGATAGGGTTTCATTTCCTGCCTTAGAGATTCTAATAGCTGAAAGTGGTCATAAAAAGTAAGTTTATTAGTACTAAAATACTAATACTATTAAAATTATGTAGTACTAAAAGACTTTTAAATTTTTGAAAATTGATTTTTCTAATTAAGAAAAAAACCTTAGGGGCAGTTAGGTGGTGCAGTGGATAGAGCACCGGCCCTGGATTCAGGAGGACCTGAGTTCAAATCCGGCCTCAGACCAGACACTTTACACTTCCTAGCTATGTGACCCTGGGCAAGTCACTTAACCCCATTGCCTAGACAAAAAAAAAGGGGGGAAAAAAAAGGAAACAGCCTTAAAATAGTGATATCACTATGTAGTAGAAAAAGGGCTGAACTTGAAGTTAGAAGACTGTGACCTGCAGTGTAATAGAAAAAATACAGAATTGTGAGTTGGAAGACTTGTATTTGAATGTTGCCTTTGCTACCTACTATCCATGTGACCACAGGCAAGTCACTTTTCCCCTCAATGTCCTGGTCTGTTATAAGAAGGGGTTGTATTAGGTAGTCCCTTCAGCTTAAAGCTTGGTAATACTAGGAATCCTGGCTCTGATGCTAATTATTTATTATTATTATTATTGTGTGACTCTTGAACCTTTCTTTATCTCTGTGAGCTTAGTTTCTTCATCCTTAATGTAGATAGATAGAATTACTGTGCTATCTACCTTTCAGGGTTGATTAGAATAAAGTGTAAACCTTAAAGTGCTATAGAAGTGTGAGGTGGTGGTGGTTGTTATTTGTTTAAAATTCCATCTCCTTTTCACTTGTTATAATTTCAATACCAGAATGACTTTATCTCTTAGGTCTTAAACATGCAGCTTTCAGATGGAGGACAAGGAGATGTCCCTGTTGATGAAACCAAACTCCACGGTAAACCTGATAAAACCTTGCGCTTTTCCCTCTGCAGTGATAATCTGGAAGGAATATCTGAAGGTGAAGGGTTACTTTATTCCAGGAATTGTGATTCAAGTAGATTTTGTAGTTTTCTTTAAAGGAGCTTTATTAAGAAGGATGCTTATGCCATCTTTGCCTTTTAGTAAGTGTGCTACAGTACAGTTAGTTATAAAGATAAATACTTAAAATTTGATATGCAACAGATTGTTAAAAAGTTGAAATGAGGAAAAAAGAGAAGTAAGTTTGCTTCATTAAAATCTCAATATTCTTGTTGCCAGTCTTTGGCAGTTTTGTGTATTTCCTGTTAATGGCCATCCAAGTATTTGCCTTTTAGACTCTATAGCTCCTTTAGAGGTACATAAATAATGCATGTCTAACTAGAATGAACAAATAAACCAGCATTTTGTTTCAGTAGCATTTATAGTTTTAAATTTTATGTCATTTTTCTTCCAAATTTGCTTTTACTTTTTTCCAAAGTAGAGCTAAATCATTATAACTCTAGGTGACAAACTGCTCACAGTTGTTTTTGTCAGGCTTGTACTGTCATTTGGTGTATAAGTGATTAAAGAGTGATAGGTTTGTGCTGCACCATTCACACACCTCATTGATCCAGGAACATACAACAGAAATATGAGTGAAAAAAATTGAATGGTTAATTCTCAAAGTGGCAATTTTGGTCATTCTATGAATCAGAAAAAAAGACTGCTACTCTGAAGAATTTTGAGATTTCAGATTCAGTATTTCAATTTAATTCTCAGAGCAGTATCTTAACAGTTTTTAATCACTTATCAAAGCATGAAAATTTGCATGTGGCTCAGCAGTGTGTCTTGCTTAAAGACAGTCACTAACAGAAAAAAAAATTTCTGCAGGTCCTTCAAATCGTTCTAATTCGGTATCTTCTCTGGACTTGGAAGGAGAATCTGTGTCAGAACTTGGAGCAGGGCCTTCTGGGAGTAATGGAGTTGAAGCTCTACAGCTTTTGGAACATGAACAAGGTAAGAAATTGATAAAAAAGCAGTATGAAAAACAGCCTTAAGCTTTTGGAGGCCAGGGGCCATGTTACATATTTGTTTTCTATCCTCCAACAGCCCTTTTACAATATAGGTACTTGATAATTACTTATTCAATCAAATTATATTTTTGATTTTCAGTGTGCCAAATTCTGATTCTCTCTGAAAAGAGAGACTTTCACTGCTTTGTATATAGCAGTTAATAAATAAATATATGTCAGTTTTAGTTTTTAAAAAAATTTCTATGTGGTTAACTATTAAACTTAGTTTCCCCTTTGGCTATTTTCTTCTTTTTCAAGCACTCAGTTTCATCAGTAAGTAAAATTTGTAGTCTCACCTTACTAAGAAGAATGGATTTTTCGTGAATTAAAAATGTTCAGAGTAAATGAAAAAACATTTCTAACTTGTAACTCAGAGAAAGATTCTTTTAAGTTGGCTATAGGCAAATGGATTCCTGTTTTATAATAAAGCGGGCTTCTCATTGTTTTTGACAGCTACAACACAGGATAACCTTGATGATAAACTACGGAAATTTGAAATTCGCGATATGATGGGGCTAACAGATGATCGGGATATTTCAGAAACAGTGAGTGAGACCTGGAGTACAGATGTCTTGGGCAGTGATTTTGATCCCAACATTGATGAAGATCGATTACAGGAGATTGCAGGTAACTGATAAGGGTGTATGGTAAGCTCTCTATTGATATTTATGTAGTTGTTCCCTCATTGTTATGCTCTAACAAGTATGACATTTTAGGGTAAAGTGGTATTGTTTTCTTGTATGCAAACCTAATGTTGAAATGAATCATTTTATTCTACAGTTTTTATTTATTTAAACATAGGCAATATTTTCCCTTCCTGCACTTTATCCTGAAAGAGAATAACCACTTTCCTAAATTACTTTACAGTTAACCTCTTATTTTTAGGAACTGGCGTCTGTTTTTAGTAAATTCCTCCCCAAGAGTAAACTTCAGATCATTAAGATGTGAATTAACTCTTTCTGAGTATAAATTCTAGTGCAATTTGCAGCATGGAGGATCTCAGAAAGAATTTATTCACCTCTGAAAGTGTTATTCAGCTTGAAAAGGTGATCTTTCTATTCTTAGAAAATAATTTGTTTATCTTTGGGTTGATGCCGATGTATTAAATGTATCGATGCCATGTATTAAAAATGGTAGTTTTTTTCCCCAAATGAACCAAAGTTAGAACAATTCTTTCATTATACTAAGTTGAAAATCATGGAACTTCTTTTAGTTGTATGTTTTAATAGAGCCATGCAGTAATGTTGAGTCTTTTTACATGTATTCTTAAATAGTGTAAATAGATTTCTTAATTAGCTTTGCATTACTCTGTTCTAGATGCCAAAGGAGTATTATTCCTGGCATTGGAATATATGAAGCAATAAGCTATATTTGCAGTTGAATGACTGCTGTAGAGGAGGTGTGTATTCTACTGCAAATACATTTTATCGCTCTGTGTACTCCATCGTTCGCTAAGGTGCCAGAAGAAAGCTTATTTGGCCAGTGTGTTCCTTTGAGGTTGAGTCTCTTAGTTTGAACTTTTGGAGTCTCTGCAGTGCTTTTGTTATCTGTGGAGGAGTGTATGTTGGAGGAGAGAGTTGTTGCAAGCCGGAGCATCATAGCTGAATCAGTAATATTGGCAGCTGGCCACAGTGACTTCATGGAGAGAAAAGTATGGAAAAATAGGAAACCAGTCCATGGAATTTGAGTGTTGCCATGTTGCCCTTGCTTTTGGTGGTGATTATGGTTCAAAGCATTCTTCCTTTTCTTTTAGTCCCTTGCTTATAGACTCAAGAATTTTGTAAGGCTCGTGTTGGGTCTTTCTCCTTTTGTCCCTGCTCTTTCCGTCCAGACCTTTGTTAACCCTTTGCTCCCCACTGGTTGTACAGGTGCGGCAGCAGAGAACATGTTAGGCAGTTTGCTGTGTCTGCCAGGTTCAGGGTCAGTGCTTCTTGACCCCTGCACTGGTTCTACCATATCAGAAACAACCAGCGAAGCTTGGAGTGTAGAGGTATTACCAAGTGACTCAGGTTAGTATCCTGTCCTCATTTCCTTTTTTTAACTTTGCACAGAAGCAATCAGTTTAAGGTACTTAAATACATGGGTTGAATTTACATTTATTTAACAAACATTTATCAATCAACTGCTGTGTGCAGTGTACTCTGCTTGGCATTGGGTAGATTCAAAGTTTAGTTAAGATATGTTCCGTTTCTTTATGGAACTCACTGGTTATTTGTAGTGGGATAAAATCCCCCATCATATATATTACATTGTTTCTTTCAAGATGTAGCTTGAGCACCCCCTTCTACAGGAGGCCTTACTTTATTTCTCCAGTCATTATTGTCCTTTTCTCCCATCCTGCATTGTATTTACTTGTATTGATTTATCTTTGTACAAATTGTTTCCTCCCAATACAACATAAGTTCCTTGAGGGAAGGGATTGTTTTATTTTTGCCTTTGTATCCTCTCCATCTAGCATATAATATTTTGCACATATTAGACACTTAATGTGCATTGAATTATTATAAGTAAGTGTATTGGAGAAGTACAAAACAAAGTGTTATGTGAGATCCCAGGGGGAAGAACATTTTATTAGTAGAGAAGATTCTTCATGGCAGAGGTGGTATTCTTATTCAAGTTTTAAAGTATGATTGGAAATATGAGAGGTAAAGAGGGAAAGTGAAGTCATGCCAAGCATAGAGAAAAGTATAAGCAAATGCACAGAGGAGGGAAAGCAAACACTAGTCTAGTTTACCTGGAAGGAACATCTTGCATGTGTACGTATGTCTCACATGTGCACTTCCACAGACCTATGTGTGGAGTGATATGTGATTAGGCTAGATAGGTCAGGTGGTACCAGATTGTGGATAGCCTTGAATATAAAGAAAAATAACAAGAAGGGAAGGACAACTAGATAATCTCATGACGGTGGCAAACTATTTTAATTTGTGACATTTTCTTTCCATTAATATGACATAGATAACCCTGGACTTGGAGTCAGAAGGCCTTGAAGTTCAAGTCCCAAATTTGTAATTTATTAGTTGTATGATCTTGGACAATTCCCTGTCTTCTAGACTCTATTTTCTTTAATATAAATGTGGGGTTTGGACAAGATGATCTCTTAAGGACCCCCAGTTCTTAATCTGTGATTTTGAACTCTTTGGGAACTTTTGAATATTCATGGGCAGGTTTTTTTTAAATGATTAAATTATATGATTAAATTTTTTAAATGATTAAATTTTTAAAAAGCAATTACTATTACTAGGATCACTCAAGATGAGAGAATTACTTTTCTGTCTCAATCTAGCATCATAAATGCAGCACAGGATTAGCAGTGCCTTTCTGGTGCTGAGTAGGAGGGTGTTGCGCAGTCCTGCCTAGGTTTGTGTCAGTGGAAGAGTTAACCCCTTACATTTTGTAAAAAGTTTGAAATTGAACAATAGGCCTCCAGAAATTCTTTTATGCAGGATTATTGTATATCCATATGTAGTACTTTAGTTTACATATTGAGTCACATTTTCATTTTTATGCTTACAGAATGTCCTGTGTCTCTTATTAGAGGACAGTTATCACAACGTTAAGTAAAACTGCATTCACCCAAAGTTTGGCCTGATTCCTTTAATTAAGGAACAACTGACTTTTTTTTTGAAATGTCAATATTTTGAAATACTTTTCAGAAATTCAGATATACCAGTGTCATTTTTATAAGTAGGTTATGCTACTAATTGTCTGTAGTGACATATGCTGAGTTGTTTTTCTAAAGACAATATGTTTTAGTGGAGAGAGCCCTGGACTTGGGGTCATAAGACCTGAGTTCAGATCTTGGCTCTAAAGTTTACACTGTATGTGACTATTGGCAAGTCACTTAACTTCTCTGGGCCTGTTTCGTTATCTGTCTAATGGAGATAAAAGTATTTGCGCTGCCTCTCTTATAGAGTGATTGTGAAGAAAGCACTTTGTAGACCTTCAATACTATTGAAGTTTGATTTATTATTGCTTACTAGTGATGACATGTTTGCTCCCTGTTATCCACACACCCTTGTCCAAATTTCCATGTACATGTATCAGTATATGGTTTTTATATGGCTAGTTGGAATTGGGGACATAGTCTGTTGTCTTGAAACAGAATTTTCATCTGTGCACAATTAACTGACCTGTAGAAGAATGGAATCTTTAACCTTGGCTTCATTAACACAGTGGTCTAAGCAATTGAAATAACTGGCCTAGATATAGAAATCTATTTACACTGGTTTTATTAATCCTCAGGTGGGCTTTTTTGTATATGGGTTATAGAAACTGAAGGCAGGAGGAACTGACTAAAGCGCTAATATGAACACATGCTGTTTTCCATCCAGAGGCCCCAGACCTCAAACAAGAAGAGAGATTACAAGAGCTAGAGAGCTGTTCTGGACTGGGCAGCACATCTGATGATACAGATGTTCGGGAAGTCAGTTCCCGCCCCAGCACTCCAGGCCTCAGTGTTGTCTCAGGTATTTCTATCTTATTTCCTGAAAGAAGTATTTTAAGGGTTTTTTATTTCAGTAAGTTTTCTGTTGATGTCACCATGACATTTTAACTTAAGGGTTGCATCAGGAAAATTTCCCCCTTTTAAACTAAAACTGATTTTAAAGGGGTCTTACAGGTTGTGGCCTGGTTTCACTGTCTAATCAATGAGTTTTCCATTTAATTTTGAACTTGGTATTTGTGTTTTCCTTGTCCTTTGGTGGTCAGTGAGTGACAGTGTAATACAGTAAAAGGATCACTTGTCTGGGAATCAGAAGACTGAAGTTCAGATTCAGGCTCTGCTACTTCTGACTGTGAGCTTAGACAGGCCATTTAATCTTTCTGTGTCTCAGTTTCATCAATAAAATAGAGATGATGGTAGTTGCACTACTTACTTATTGGGGTTACAGTGAGGAAATTACTTTGTATTGTGAATTGTGATCACATGAAATAATTTAGGTACACACAAGGTACAATGTGAATGATAATCAATGTAAAATGCTTTGTAATGGTTAAGAAAGATACAAATATCAGCTATCATGTTATTATAATTATTATTGTTTTCATTATTATGGTATTATTCTAAATACCCAGTAGCTTGCTATTATATTCTGCCTTTACAGGTTAATTCTGTATGTTGTATAAATCAATTTCACTATGCGTAAGCCTGAATATAAAAGCAGTCGTACCAATAAGTTTATCTAGCCAGAACATAAAGAATTTGTTAATATTTAAAGGCTTTTCTAATAATTTTCTTGTGTTTCATGTGTGTATTTTTCTTCTGTAAGGCATCAGTGCAACCTCTGAGGATATTCCTAATAAGATTGAGGACCTTAGATCTGAATGTAGTTCTGACTTTGGTGGCAAAGATTCAGTCACCAGTCCAGATATGGATGACGTAGTCCATGGTAAGAAAGACCAGTGTATGTGAAGTGTGCAAATAAATTTACCTCTTGTCCCAGGTACCTCAAATATGTCATTATTTCATTTTATTCTCACCATCATTTCATGACTTTGTTACCTAGAGATACTTGATTCTGTGAAAGAGACACAGTTTCATTGGTGTGGTTTTTTTATCTTGACCAACACAACAGCTTTTCTCTGATTTCTAATTCTGTTTGACTTTTATTTGTATTTTCCCACAAATACTCCACAGGGGATCTACCTAGTGTTCTGGAGGCATTTTCTTTTGTCTTTTTTAGTTCAGAGTTATCAACTTTTTTTTCAGTTAGGAGGCTAATTGATTTAAAAACCATATATCTATAGACCTCAAGAATTTTATATTCGTGACAGTGGTGATGTGTGATGTCTATTAATAGTGTATTGATATGTACATTTTATAACAAAGAAGTTGTCCTCAAAACATTTTAGTCAGTTTTGTCCATACAAAAATTCGATTATAAGCATTGTGCTAGCAAGTGATAAATTTTTGATTATGTTAGTGAGAATACCATTAAAATTTTTTTTCACCTAATAAAGATTATTTTTTTCTTCTTAACCACCCTTTAAAAAAAAAAGAAAAAAGTCCTTTTAACAAATTTAATGTTAATTAAATGTTTAGTCAAGCAAAACAGATTCTTGCATTGGCCGTGTTAAAAATGTGTGTGTACATATGTAAACATATATATTTATATAAACTTGTGTATATATGTATATATGCATATATGCATAAATCCATCCTCTCTAATGGGTGTTTGTCCTCTGGAATTATGATTGTTGTATTTTTTTTTTGGCTTTTTTTGGGTGAGGCAGTCAGAGTTAAGTGACTTGCCCAGGGTCACACAGCTAGTAAGTGTCAAATGTCTGAGGTTGGATTTGAACTCAGGTCCTCCTGATTCCAAGGCCAGAGCTCTATCCACTGCACCACCTAGCTGCCCCTTGTTTATTGTATTGAACAAGAGTTTTTTAGTCTTGTAAAGTTGTTTGTCTTTACAGTTTTTATGTTATTGTATAAATTCTTCTGGTTCTGCTCATTTCACTCAGCATCAGTTTATTTTACAAGTCTTGTCAGGTTTCTATGAAATAGTCCCTTTCATCTTATGGCACAGGTGTCCATCATATTTGTATCCCATTACATCTTTGGCCATTCCCCTATAGATGGGCACTCTCTTAGTTTCTAGTTCTTTGCTGTCACAAAAAGAGCTGTTAAAAATATTTTTGTTTACATTTATCTTTCTTTTTTTTTAAATGAGAGTACATACCTTGTAGCCAAACTATTTTATTTTTTCTTTTTTAAGATTGTGTTTTTTCTTTCACTAGGCTAGATGCAGAGTGGCCACTCAGGATGGTCTTTCATAGGCCCAGGCCCTTTGCTGCTCTGCATGGGAGCTTTGACCTGTTCTATTTTACCACCTGGGCCAGTTTACCCTTCCTTAGGCAGCCTAGTTCCTTCCTGCTGCTTCCAAATCTAAATCTAAATGACTCCTGATATTGGTGTTGAACATAGTATGGACACCCATGTGGCTTAGCCCACTGAAGCTCAGAATTCCCAAGCATAAGTGATTCACCACCTCCAGCTTCTGTAATGGCCAGGATCAAGGAGGTGCCACATCATGCTTGGCAGCTGGATTATTTTCAAGAGCTGTATACTTTCAATTCTGACTCTTAAAGTTACATTGTAGATAGTGGTTTTTTGCAGTTTCATAAAGAATATAAATTCATAAGGGGCGGCTAGGTGGCACAGTGGATAGAGCACCGGCCCTGAAGTCAGGAGGACCTGAGTTCATATGTGGCCTCAGACCAAACACTTGATACTTACTAGCTGTGTGACCCTGGGCAAGTCACTTAACCCCAAATGCCTAAAAAGTAAAAAAAAAAAGAATATAAATTCATAGAATCAGATTGATTCAAACATTTCCTTTTCCAGTTATATATCTCAATATCATTTATGCTACTTCTCAGCACTGAAAATGAAAAAGTATTTTACTCTTCCTTTCACATTTTAAAACAGAACAGCAGTAATTTATGAAAATACTGACATGTAGAAAGATGATACCAGTTTTAGATAAAAATATTTGAATTACAGCAACTGGTTTATTTGATATGTCTGCAGATTTTCCCTTTTTACCTCCAATATTTCCCTTTCACATTATTCATGCTTATATATGGCCAAGTCATTAATTTTTCCTGTGTCGTCGTGTGTGTTATGTTTCTGGCCATCACGTTTTGTTTTATGGTATGACATGTTCAGCTTTGCTATTTTTGCCTTTAATCTGCCTAATCTGATGACAGACTCTCTATAGGACTTGACCACATTCTACCTGGCCTGTCTTCCTCTAGTTTTTGAAGACCATTGATAACACTAATATGTTGATGGGTGGCCTTAAAACTATGTTACTATGTGAGGTTCTTAGGACCTTTCTGCCATTCTCCTGTTGTTATTGTGGAAGTAGGCAGAGGGGAAGGAATACATAGGAGTGTGTATATTTGTCTATTTTTTATGTTTTCTTCAGTTGGAGTGGGTAAAATAATTTATTACCTAGGAACCCATGAGATGAACTCCTCTAGTTTTAACTAGAAACTGGCCCTCCAATATCTTTCTTGAACATTCATAGCTTGGTAGAATTTCCCTGCAAAGTAAAGTGTCAAAGCATAGATGTATTTGAATTTTCCTATAAGACTGTGCTGGTGAGAGTATTTCTCCAGTATGGATTGTTTATGAATTTTTATTGGATCTTTGAAGTGTACTCAGAAAGTAAATATTTGTCTGAGCAAGTGGGGAACTGAAAGTGCTAAAATGTGTTTACTTTTGACTCAGTTTCATATTGTGTTTCAGGAGCCCACCAGCTGACTTCTCCTCCCTCTCAGTCAGAGTCTTTGCTTGCAATGTTTGACCCATTGGCGTCACATGAAGGTAAGTTATTGAAATTATTTCTTCAGCTCTTTAGAGCTCATTGTTCATTGGTGTCTGGCAACAGCTGATAAAGAAGTTAAATACTTGGTTTCTAATTTTCTGGTGCTGAGCCTTTCAGAACTTAGCTAGTTTGGTCCTCAGACGATAGACACATAGTATAGTATAAGGCCTGCATTTGAGGCCTTTCCTACTACATAGATCCTGTGAGAGATTGTGCTGTGCTGGAAGAGCCCAGGGAACTTTACTCATTACTGTGAAGCATTCAAAGAGAACTTTAATACAGGATTGAAATGATTATAAAGAAGAAAATAAATATGGATCCTTGACCTAAAGTTTTTTTATTGCTGTCTTTTGTTTTTATATTACTTATATTTCCTAATGTATCCCTACCCCATTGTCCTCCTCGACCTAAAGAGTCATCTTCTATACCAAAGGGAGAGAAAGAGGAGACAAAAAACTAATTTAGTAAATCTAACATATTGAAAAAAACCTTAAAATTATATGTAGTTTTCCACTTCTTTAGTCCCTCACTCCTGCAGAGAAGTTGAAAGAGCTACCTTGTCATGTATCTTCTTTGGGGATAACTTTGATTATTATAATTTTGCTGGGTTCCTTGACTTTTAAGGTTATTTGTAACCAAAGAAAAAATTCATCATGTAATTGAAAGCCTTTGTTATATTATTTGTATCTTGGGAAATTTTTCTTTATCCAAGGGGCTTCTGCTGTAGTAAGACCAAAAGTTCACTATGCTAGACCATCACACCCACCACCAGATCCCCCAATCCTGGAAGGAGCCATGGGAGGGAATGAAGCCAGGCTACCAGGATTTGGCTCTCATGTGTTGATTCCAACGGATGCAGAAGCATTCAAACAGAGACATTCCTATCCTGAGCGATTAGTCCGCAGCAGGAGTTCTGATATTGTATCTTCGGCCCGGAGACCCATGAGTGATCCTAGTTGGAATCGGCGTCCTGGGAATGAAGAGAGAGAACTGCTTCCTTCAACTGCCATTGGATCTCCTTTAGTGGCTGCACCTCCATCATCATCCTCATCTCCTAGTAAAGATTCCTTGAGAGGAGAGGTGAGGAGCCCCAGATTTAGTAGAGTAGTATTTTGGTAACTGTTGGTTTGAATGACCTCAGCTAGTACTGTTGGTCTCTCAAACTAACATGGAGTCCATTGTCCAAAGAGGTGGGAATATCTGTAATTAACTCTAATTTGATGACCTAGGGTAGTAGTTTCAAAGTTTTTGGTCTAATGACCCCTTTAGACTTAAAAATTATTAAGGACCCCAAAGAGCTAGGTAGTAGAGTCTATAATCCACTTCTTATGTGGGTTATATATATTGATATTTACTGTGTTTGAAATTAAAACTGATAAAATTTTAAAATACTTATTCATTTAAATAATAAACCCATTACATATTAACAAATAACTTTTTGTGAAAGATAACTATCTTCTGAAACAGAAAGTAGAAGAATGGCATTGTTTTACATATTTTTGCAAATCCCCTTAATATCTGGCTCAATAGAAGACAACCAGATCTTTATATCTGCTTCTTCATTCAATTTCTTGTAATATTTTGTTTTGGTTGAAGTATATAAAGAAACTCTGGCTTCACACAGGTACAAAGTTGGAAAAGTGAAGAGTATTTTAATCAGTCAGTAACATCTTAGTGTTATTATGAAAATAGTTTTGACTATGGAGACACCCAAGGGTTGGTGGATCACGCTTTGAGAACCATTGATCTAGTGAAACTTTTCCGTATTATGCTAAATACCCTGTCACCCGAGATCCCTAGGCAGTTTGTTTTTTTGAAGTGGTAGTAATAGCACAATTCAATTCAGTAAATATTTATAAAATAATATGCTGAGTGCTAACATATAGAGATGAAGTAAGACACTGTTCTGTTCCTCAGGAAGCTTAAAATCTAGTAGAGGAGATAAGATGTCCACAAGTAAGTCTGTGCCTTTTTGGAAAGTCATGATTTTGTTAGCATGAGCTCCCCTGGTGCTGCTGCTGCAGACTATAGCTCCTCCACACTTCAGTTCACATCCCGTGTGAGGTTCTATGGACAGAGTATTCATGGGACTTGTTTGGCTTTGATCCTTTCCAAAATCTGATCCTCACACCATGGATACAAAATTCAGCTCATATTAATGATAGTACTTTAAATTTGTATTTTGAACTTTTTTTGAAAAAATGATTTTAAATTTTTCTCAAAACACTTTCCCATTCTATGAGGTATGCAGCGGAATTAATTTTAGCTAACTTTTTAGATAAAGAATCTGAGGTTTAAATGGAGGCAGAGTAGCTCCCTCAAGATTATGCTACGCGTTAATGATAGAGAGGGGACCAGAACCCATATCTCCTTACTCCTGCTCTGGTGCTTTCCCCGTCATATCCACTTCCCTTTCCCCATGGAATCCCAAAATACGTATAAAACTTTGTACCTTTGTAGTCAATGCAATTTTATACGTAAGGTAGAGTCTGCAGTGATTTTTCTAGTGAACCGTTATCCCAGAGATTTTTAAAATATTTCATAGATATTTTGAAAACATTTTATACCTATCTAGATTGCAAATAAAATGCAAAAATCTTTCTGCAGACTGAAGAACGAAAAGATAGTGATGATGAGAAGTCAGACAGAAACAAACCTTGGTGGAGAAAACGTTTTGTTTCAGCTATGCCTAAAGGTAATTTCACAAAATTATTAGAATGCTGTGTTTTAGGATCAGAGAAATAAGAGTCCATTGATGTCAGTAAGTCAGTATTCCAGGTCTTGTGGGAATTTGATTATGACTTGACTTTTAATGTGTTTTAAGTGGCTCATCTTAGATGGATGTTAAGACAAAGCTTTAGGATGTTAAGGTTACTGCTGTGTGACCCATGCTATGTTGATTTCTCATAAACCCAGGAGAAAATATGTACACTTGGGATGTGTAAATATGAAATACTGCTGAAGTTCACTTGAAGATACTTTGGACAGGAATATCACTTTTCAAAACTGAATAAAAAAGAATTTTATCCCATTATGGGCTTGATCTTTAGAATTTGCAACATTAATTTGAACACCTGAAGTAAATTTAAACGTTCATCTTGCTAAGTTGAGTTTTGTTCCTCATATCTTAGTGTGCTGGTATTGAAATTCAGTTGTATGAGACCATGTGCTTTTCCTGTGAACAGCTTGGCATTGTAGAGACGTTAATATTTAAGTTTGCACATGTGTTTATACCTGAAAAGGAGAAGCACCAGGAGTAGAAACAGGTGCCACTTTCACAGGTCTCCCCTTGGTAACCTGAGACTCCGGAGCTATGGATGACCCCTTTCATTCGTAATTAGGGCCTCTTGCTGAGGAGAGAATGGTGTTCCGAGCTTTGAATGTGGTGTTTTTTTGTTTTTTGTTTTGTTTTTTTTTGGCAGGTTTCAGAGTGCAATGGATTCAACTTAATTTCTGATTACCTCTTAATTGATCCTTTCTTATAAAAGAGAATCTTCAAATAGACTCTGAGAACTCAAGTTCAGTTCTTTTTAAGAACATTTGTCTGTGGAAAGGATTTACACAGATAATTTCTTAGGTTTTCAGCTTTTAAAACCTCCTTTCATTTAGAACTGTTGGCACACCAGTATCTCCAAAATGACTGACTACTGTCTTCCGAGTACAGTGCAGTATATTATATGTCACACTACTGACTTTATTTAATTTCCAGCTCCTATACCATTTAGAAAGAAAGAAAAACAAGAAAAAGACAAAGATGATCTGGGGCCTGACAGATTCTCAGCACTTACAGGTTTGTAGACCCATGGACTTCCTGGCTCCTTCATTCCCAGAGCACATATTCCATAACACTTTTTCTTGGGTGCCATAAACGTTACCTCTGTAGAAAAGTATGTTTGTGTGTGTGTGTGTGTGTATGTGTTTATATGTGTGTGAAATGATGGGGAATATTTCCTTCATAGCTCCGTAGCTTCTAATAGAAGATTGTAGTGGATTATTAGTATGCTCTTGCTGCAGACCACCACCACCATCATCATCGTCATCGTCATCAATTTTAATTTATTAAGAATTTCTAAAACTGAACCTCTAGGCGCATTTACACAAATTGTTATCTCTCAGAAAAGACACATTCCGTCTTGGGAAAACCCCATAGCAGATCTCAAGAATAAGGTCCACACCACGTCTTTAACCCATATATTTGATTGACTACCTTAGATTTTAGAACCCTAAATTTGTTTTATCAATAGCTTGCCCTTTAAGTTATTCATACTTCGTGTAGTATTGCTGTGTCAAACTGGAATTTTTATAATGGAATTTCAGCCTAAGTAGCAGATAACACACTAGTAAAATATGCTTATGTTTCACCTAATTTGCACTGTTTATAAGTTTAGTATATTTATCTTATTGAGGAGTCAATATTTTCCTTTCTTCAGCAGTACTTGATAAGTACCAACAATGAGTGAGTCCATATATAGGCGTATCCCACATAATGTTGCCCTGGCCATTGTCACCTAGCAGTGATGTCACTAATACACTGGATGCAAACCCCACCATGATATTGAGACACTTTCTTGTCAGTTCATGCAGCTAACCACTTATGAGGTCGATTGTTCCTATGGAACTAACATTTACTCTTCACCCCCCTCCCCAACGCGGGCCAGTGGTTTTCCCCATTGTGTTTTCTAAGAACTCTTTAGTGATGTTATGAGGCAGGCTGTGCCTGTATAATTAACTAATCTGGAGTTTGAAAGTTTTTAACTTACTCCAGTAGCTATAGAGAATTAGGGTAAGTTTACATCTATTCTCACTCCATTCTGAATTTTTTTATTGTACTAAGTTAGAATGATGATTTTTTTTAAAATTAAAAATGGATAGTTTAAATTGAAAAAAAAATCTACCATGGGTACAAGTAGAATCCTATTTTAATGATTGCCATTTTAATGACTATTTAGATATTGTATTAGATAGATCATATCAGTAGTTGCTTTGTTGATCAGGATATGGTAAATTCTCTTAAATGAGAAATCCTATAAAACCTGTTTTCCCAAGTCATGGTCCTATTCAACAATTTATTTAATATTGTCCTTGTCATAAAATATGTGCGCAGTACCTATATTTAAATACCTTTGTAATTATGTATAGTTACAAAATGTTAAGTGATTTTTAAAATTGTGTTGATGGTCTTTGGGAGTTTGTATTTAATTTTATTGATTTCAGGTTTAAATTGAGCAGGAAGGATAAAGAATATTCTCTGGCTCTTGGTGCCTGGGTTAGTAGGAAACTGAAGTGCTGCTGTTAGTAGCTTTGTGAGACTAGGTATCAAAGCTTATAGTCAGGTAATTCACAAAGTAGTACCAGGAAGCATAGAGTAGAGGAAATAGTAATTAGCTTGGGGTGAGAAGAATTGGACTTGAGTCCTGTATTTGCCACTTAGTAGCTCTGTGACTTTGGACAAGCCATTTTCTTCCCTGGGCCTTAATTTTCACATCTATGAAATAAAGCAAATTTTATTAGATTATTCCTAAGGTCCTTTTTAGCTCTAACCTATGATTCACAAAAGCATACTAGAAGAGGAGAGGGAGGGAAGGAATAAACATTTATGTAGCACCCACTGTGTGCCAGGCATTTTACTAAGCACTTTTTTTTTTAAACAAAATATTGTCTTATTTGATCCTTGCAACAACTGTGGGAGGTAGGTGCTGTTATTGTTCTTCCCATTTTACAGTTAAGGAAACTGAGGCAAACAGGTGAAATGGCTTGCCCAGGGGTCACATAGCTAGTAAGTGTTCAAGGCCTAATTTGAACTCGGGTCTTCCTGGCTCCAGGCCCAGCACTCTATCCATTCCACCACCAGCTGCCTCAGCGAACCCCAGATTTAGATGACTCTTGTCCAGGGTCACACAGCTAGTGAGAGGTAAAATGGGGTTTAAACAGTTTTCTTCTGATTCCAAATCCTATTTTTTACACTGGCTCCTCCCAAAGTATTTCACCTTGAGCTGACTTGTGCTTCGTTTTTATAATCTTCATCAGCATGTGAACCAAAAGCCAAGAAGTATTCTTTTTTCAAAAGCAAAACATTTTGTCATCAAAGAATCATCAACACATTTTGGAAACTGTCCAGTTTTATTACGAATTTATTTTACTGCAGTATTTCAAAAGGTCTGTGATTTTATGAATAATAGGTACTTCCTCCATCCCAGTGTATTGTGGCCCCTCTTTGCTTTAGTAGACAATCTTAATGAGTTACTCTGGCCAAAATATTCATCACCTGGTGACCAATCCTGAGCTTCTTTGTAGGTTTAGGTAGGCTAGTCCTCCAATAACAAACTAATTTATAACAAAATAGTTTACCACTGGGCCTGTCCTTAAAGCCTTTCCAGTTTTCTTTTTTTTTTGCTAGGCAGTGGGGTTAAGTGACTTTCCCAGGGTCACACAGCTAGTAAGTGTCAAATGTCTGAGGCTGGATTTGAATTCAGGTCCTCCTGACTCCAGGGCTGGGATTCTATCCACTGCTCCACCTAGCTGCCCCTCTTTCCAGTTTTCTTGCAGGCTTTGTTTTTCTCTGACAGACGAATGGTTTGTCACTTGGCCTTTGCAACTTGGTGGTAGGACCTGAAAGAAATTGTCCTTTGGCACAGGCTTCTAGAACCTAAGAAGCTATAAAAAAAATAGGGCTTACATTTCCATGTTAAGAACAGCTTCTTAACCACAAGAATTGTCCAGAAATGAAATGAAATGGAATGTTTCAGTAGGTAGTGATTTTGTCATTCCTGGAGGACTTCATGGGGAGGTTTGAGGGCCATTTGTTAAGCATGTTTTGGAGGGGATTTGTGTTTAGGTGCTTCTTAAACTGTGAGTCTCCACTCATATGGGTTTAAGAAGTGCTGAAGGGGGAGTGAATGGGAAAAGTTTAAGTAGCCCTGAACTAGATGACCTTTGGGGTTTGAGTTGTAAGTCCCTTCCAGCTTAGATTATGTGAAATAGACAAAACTTTTTACTTTTCCCTTCCCTTTCTCATTTCTTTTTTATAGTTACAGTACCAGTAAATGTGTTTACTTTATTAAAATTAAATAATTTCTAACTCAGTAGCCTTGTTATAATTTTTTTTTTGTTCTGAGTTAAATGTCCTTCACGCAGCTCCTCCAGTGTTTTAATAAGTAGCCACTCTGAGTTCTCAAAAACTATGCTAGCAGTGTACAAACTGTCAAGTTTTACCAAGCTGGAAAACCTTCAAGTATAGATTGGAGGACAATCCTAGCTAGGTGTGGATAGACTTGTTTAAAGTTTGGTTTCCCGGAGATTTTTTTGTTTTGGCTATTACAGTGTATTAAACCATTTACTAAGACATAGAAGGGTTGCAGTCTACAGTGGTAGAAAGTACCCACACAACTAAAATTGCAGATCCTTCAAATATTTAATGTAATATAATGATTCTGATGTCCCTTTGAATTTATTAAAATGGGATCCTACTTGTAAATTGATCTTCAAAGTTAACTGCATTTCCCAGATCTCCCAGGATACTGTATTTTTGACCATTGTGACCATTGTGTCCCAGGGACTTGCAGTATTTATCTCTTAATTAATTATCAGTTAATGAGTGACTCCTACCTTCATTTTGGCTGTGAGCCCATTTTAGAATATTTTATCTCGTTGGATAAGTGACTGCCCTTTTAGTAAGTAGAATTACAGTTTGATGATAAGATTCATACCAGGTGCACTTACAGCATTCCTTAAACATCTGCAGCTGATCTTAGAATACCTCAAGTAGCATTCAATGTACAATTATGCTGTACGCCAACAGCCACATGGTCTCAGTTTGTTGGAATGTGAGGCAGCTTTGTTCAGAAGTGGTGTGGAAGAGTAATTTAGAAATAAAGGATGGAGGAAGTATTTTCTTTTTCTTAAAAAGAACTTAATTCTGAGGTCTGAACAGTTTACATTTTTCCCCCTTCAGCCTGGAGATGTCTCTGAGTAAATGGAGTCTACATATAGAATTGCATTTGTTTAAAGTCTTGTTCAGTATGCACCTGCTAGTCCAGTTGATTTGGGTGTGACTACCTAGGAATGCATCTCACCCTCTAGTCTTCACTGAACTTTCATTGTGTAGAATGCTGGCGATGATGAGATGTGGAGCTGCTCATCCCAATTTTCTGCTTGAGCAAGGCTCTGATTATTAGAAATGGGGATGAGTAGGCAGCTGCATGGTGCCTCTTAACATTGAGATATGTGCTCTTTTTAAGATTTGCCTCCTAATTCGCCCTTGGGATTTTCTTGTTACTGGTATCGTACTAACTTCAAAGGCAGTGCATATGGAAATGAACCAATTCTTGTGCATGTTCTCCCTTGGTTTCTCAGATGATCCTGCCCCCAGACTCAGTGCACAGGCCCAGGCTGCTGAAGATATCTTGGATAAATATAGGAATGCCATTAAACGAACTAGTCCTGGTGAAGGAGCTGTGGGGAACTATGAAGGTGCAGGTAAGAACTAGCCCTGGGCTAGTCATCCACATGTAGGTTTCATTCTTCCAGTAGACTTTTCTCAGTCATAGAAGGTTAGAGCAAAAAAAGAACTTTAGAAGTTATGAAATGGGTGCTATCTTGGAGATGGAGGTTCAAGTTGTGGCTTTACCACTAACCTTCTCTGATTGTGGACAAATCATTTAACTTATCAGAGTGTCTTCATTATCCCACAGTTCCTTAGAGGGAAATGATGGGATTAGAGTAAATGATTTCTGAGGTATTTCCAACTTGAACTGTGTATGTTTTAAGGTGACTTCTTTGTCTTCTCTGTTTTATTATTCTTTGTTCTAGAAGATCCCTTTCAACTATGAGATTCAATAATTGTAATTCTAAGCATGATAAAAATTTCAGATCGACTTATACGTTGATGTAGTAGTACAGGAAATGTTAGTGTCTGGGTGTTTTAGAGCAATGGTTCCCAGCCTGTAGTTTGAGGAGCTGTGAAGGTATTGCAGGAATCCATATGCACATCAGCATTGTTAATTTATTTTTATTTAGCTCTAACAAAATAGTGTTATAAAGCATAATAAACAGACTTGCTGTAGACTGAATGTTTTGAATATATGATCACAATCCAAAATATGTGTAGATGCTTTTATAAATTATAAGATGTAAATGATTTAAAAGTGTTACTGCATCTGTAGTAGTCTATTATCACAATGTATTTTCTCAATAAATGTGTACTAATAAATAGCATAACTATTTTAATGGAGTGCCATGAAATTTTTTAACGTTAAAAAAGGTACCCATAGTAAAATTAGGGAACCACTGTTCTAGAGAAGAAAGTGGGAAATTACATCTTTATTTTTAAAAATAGGAATTAAGTGTTAGTTTTTAATTGAAAATTGAATTGATAGTACCCCCTTCCTTAACTCAGATTATTTATGTGTCCAAATGGCTTCAGTGTTGGCTCTTGTGGAAGTGTGCAATTGATTTTTAAAATCTTTTTAGAGATGATTTTAAGATCTCGTAGAATAATAGCTTTGGAAGTTTATAGGACCTTAGAGATCATTTAGTCCAACCCACTTGACTAGGTATGGACTTTGTGTCACAACAAGGAGGGTTGTGCTACATGTCCTACACAAATCCTATTAAACCAGTTTACCTGACTTAGACAGAAGTGTGTCAGCTGAATCTTAGGAAAAGTGAAACGGAATGTGTCTTCATGATGTCTGTAAATTTCTCCTCCTGATGCTCATTAAGAGAGGGGTGTGGTGTAGTGAAGAGGGCAATAGAGTCAAGAGGTCCAGTCTCTAGTCTTAGTTCTGACAGTAATTATCTTTGTGATCTTAGGCGTGTAAGCCTCCCTTTCCTCATCTCTGAATTAAACGGATTGTATTTGATGAGCCATAAGGCCACTCGTAGGCCAGCAGTAGTTCTGTGGTTCTGGAGCATTGACTTAATTAAGGTCATCTTATACTGTGTCACTTAGTAACGCCGTAATTTTGTAATACTATTTTTCTACCTACTTACAGGGTGGTTGTGATAATCAAATGAGAGATATAACATATATAAAGAATTTATAACTTCAAAATATTAGGGAAGTATTAGTTATTACTGCAGAATTTCAAAACTTCATTAGTGTTAGTAATCTTTCAAACAGTAATTCAGCAAATATGCATTAAGCACCTGCCATGTTCAGAACACACAATTTAGATAGGACTTAGACTGCCCTCGTGGATAGTTCAAGTATAACTGACTTAATGATAGTTGCCAATCCTAAAATAAATGAGTTTTAATATTTGAAGTTTTCTTCTGTAACAGAGAAGTGCCATTTACGTGTTGGTTTTCTCAAAGAAATGTATTAATTCAAAACACAATATCATTTGAAAACTTGACTCTTTAGCACCTCTAAAACTAATAGGGTTGTGCTTTTTGGGGAATGGGTTTTGTTTAGAAGTTATGGGAGATGGTGAAAGTGTACATGACTCTCCTCGTGATGAAGCCCTGCAGAATATCTCCGCTGATGATCTCCCGGACTCAGCCAGCCAGGCGGCCCCCCCACAGGACTCCCCTTTCTCTTATAGGTATGTGGGGCCTTGGGGTCTGCATTTGGGCTTTCTGCCAGCCTTTCAATCACTTCAGTTTTCTGTTTGCTCAGCTACTATTTACTTTGGTGCTGTGAGAAACAAAGTTTCTATGACATACAATGCAGCTCTCTTGACTTATACATTCTAGTGACAGGGATGGGTTATTTACACCAATAACTGTAATATAAAAATAGGATAATAGTGAATGTAACAAAATTCAAAATCAAATCTTTAGCTGATTCATTTGCTAAAGATGAGGAAAACATTGGAGGAAGAATTGTTATGAGGTGGCTAGGTGGTGCAGCTCATAGATCTCTAGGCCTGGAGTCCAAAAAAGCTGAGTTCAAATCCAGCCTCAGATATTTACTAGCTGTATGACCCTAGGGAAGTCACTTAATTTCTGTTTGCCTCAGTTTCCTCATTTGTAAAATGGAGATAATAATAGCCTACCTTCCAGGATTTGTTATGAGAGTCAGATGAAATAATAATTGTAAAATACTTATTAGCACAGTGCCTGGGACATAGTAAATGCTATGTAAATGTTGTTTTTGTTGTATTATCTCATTGAGATAAAGTAATGTGTCTTGCACAGCTGCTTAGATGAGATGATTTATTTAGGGCCTGTTGTGTTCCAAACATCATGTTAAGTTCTGAGGGAAGAAATCATGTTTAGCACACAGTAAGTGCTTAATAGATGTTTACTGATTAAGCAAAATAGAAAATTTGAGGCAGTCCTTGCTTTTAAGGAAGTAGTCCACACTCTTATTGTAGGAGACAGCTTATATAAGAGTTCAGCTGCAGGGTTCATGGTAAGACCCAGACGTCCTAACAGATTAGCAGTGAAGTAGATGACAAGGCCCGGGGGTCCTTAGGGTATTTCAGCAAGTCAGATAGCAGTGCCCTAAAGGGTGTAATGTCAGGGCAGATGGTAAAGCCTGGAGGGACCTTCGGCTGGAATGGTAAGGTGGATGATAAGCCTTGGTATAGTTCTCTATATCACTGGTAGAGTTGTAGTTCTTGATTTCCAGCTTATCTAACTAGTGTTAGTCTGAATGATTCTATGACTTTTGCTTGGATACAAATCTTTTGACTCCAGCTCCAGTGTTTTTTCTAGTATGTCTAGTATATCTTACAATATCTTTTATTGTAAAACATGAGGTTCTTGGGGATAATACCAGCTCTTCTCATGGGAAGTGATTTTGGCCTTTGTGAAGATGTATCATCTTCATGTCGAGAGTTGGCTGATGAGAGCATTTTGTTACTGCACTCAAGTAAGAGGAAGATCCATCCTTTACAGCTTTATAGATTCAGGCATGGATATGCCTGATATGACAAAATGACGAGTGTATTCTTTTAATTGCGTATCTATCCTGGATGGGACCAAGACCTGCCACGAGTTCTCAGTTTACTTATTGTTACCCACTTCTGATGATTAACGTGGAAAACAATGATGCAGTCAAAAGAAATCTGGAATAAATTTCTAGAAACTCTGAAGGATTTGAGGACACAGGTGGTATTTTTTTCTCTATTAATGATCATGATTTTGGAATTAAAAGCCTTTGAAAAATAAATGGCTAGCTATACCGGTACTGGAAAAAAAGATTTGATTTATCCTTTCACCACATCAGAGTCTCATTTCCTCCCAATTATACCCACTAACTGGGGTTTCTTTATTTTATTTTGACTAGGCAGTGGGGTTAAGTGACTTGCCCAGGGTCACACAGCTAGTAAGTGTTATGTGTGTTATGTGTCTGAGGCCGGATTTGAACTCAGGTTCTCCTGAATCCAGGGCCGGGGCTCTATCCTCTGCGCCACCTAGCCGCCCAACCGGGGTTTCTTTAGTCAGAAGTGTGTTGGATGTTTTCATAGTTATGATCTATTTTACAGAATCACAGAATTTGAGAATTAGGAGGGACTACAGCAGTCATCTTGTCCAATTCATATGCAGAAGAAATATTTACTATAACATATACTACAGATCATCATCCAGCCTCTGCTAGAAGACCTCTAGGGGATTGGGATCCCATCACTTCCCAAGGCAGGCCGTTCCACTTTTGGACAAATAATTGTCAGGAGCTTCTACCTGACATCTAGCCTAAATTTGCTTCTTTGCAATTACTACCCTTTGCTCCTAGTTCTGTCTTCTGGGGCCCAACAGAACAAGTCTAATGCCTCTTCCAAATGACAGCCAGCCCTTCAGAGGCTTGAAAATAGCTGTCAGATACCTGAATATAGCTATCATGTCCCACCTGAGTCTTTTCTTTTCTAAGCTAAATATGCCCAGTTCCTTCAGTCTATCCTCTTATGACATGGAGTCAAGGCCCCTCACTGTCCTGGTTGACCTTCTCTGGACACTTTCCAGTGTAACGATGCCCTTCTTAAACCTTTTTTACCAAGAATAGAGTACAGTACTTCAGATACTCTCTGGTGAGGTCAGAATATGTTAGGATTCATTATTGCTGTTATCATTATCTTAATCTTTCTTTCTCTTAAAAGTGTCTTTCACAAAAAAATATGTGCCATATCACATATTGAGCTTGCAGTCCACTAAAACCCCTAGATCTTACTCATAACAACTGTTGTTTAGCCATGCCTCCCTCATCTTGTTCTTGTAAAGCTGACTTTTTTTGTATCCATGTACAGCACTTTATATTTGTCCCTATTAAATTATATTAATTTCAGCCCAGAATTTTGGCTTCTCAGGTTCTTTATGGAACCTTTCTATATCACCTAGTGTGTTTGCTTCACTTCATCTCTATATTGGTTAATCAGGCCATCTTTGCCTTTAAGTTACTGATAAAAATGTTCAATAGGAAAAATCCAAGCACAGTTTATCCACTGGAGTGGGCCTTTCATGTTGACATTGAACATTAATATGTGCTCTTTGAATCTAGCTGCCCAGTTCTAAATTGAAATGAGAGGTATCATCTCAGCTCTTTATTTGTGCAATGAATTATAATAAAAGGCTTATGTCCCTGAGTTACGAAACCAGTTTCCTGTATTTTTACATCCTTCTAGGGATGCCAAAAAGAAACTGAGGCTTGCACTTTGCTCAGCAGATTCTGTTGCTTTCCCAGTGCTCACTCATTCGACGAGGAATGGTCTGCCAGACCATACAGATCCAGAAGGTAAGGTGCAACTTGATCAGTGGATAATGGCATGTTTTTTTTTCTCTATTAATACTTATAACAACATGCTTTACGAACAATTCCCTTCATTAAGAATCCATTCTGATGCCTCATGCTGGTGCAGAAGTGGCCTTTAGTTCTTTAAGATTAATCGGTAAAGAGCATAAGCGTTTGCATGCTTCGACTATTGTTCCAATAATAGGCTCTGTGTTAGCCAAGGAACAGTGTAATGAAGTTCAGAAGGTTCACCAGAAAATGGGTTACTGGAGCAATTAGATGGTGCAGTGGATAGAGAGCTGGGCGTGGACTGAGAAAAACTTGAGTTCATATCTGGCCTCAGATACGAGGCTTACAGCTTACTAGTCGTGTGATCCTGGGCAAGGCATTTAACTTCTGTTTGCCTTAGTTTCCTCACTTATAAAATAGGGATAATAATAGCACCTGTTTCCCATGGCTGATGTTGGATCAAAAATGATAATAATTGTAAAGTGCTTAGTATAGTAAGTACCTAGGACAGAAGCATTATATAAATGTCAGTTGTTATTATTATTGGAGGGTAATTTTTTTGGCCACAGTAACACAAAAAAAGTGGAAGGATTATTATCTGTGTTAAAATGGAGAGAGAGTTCCCTTGCTAATATAATCAAAGTTATTTTGTGTTTAAAGCATGGATAATTCATGTCAACATTTATTAAGTGTGTTAAGTGCTGAAAGATGCAAAGATGGAATAATATATGATTTCCATTCTCTAAGAGCTTCCAGTCTAGTGAACATGTCTAGGACGTGTTCACAGAGAAGGATGGCCTAATATTTCTTTACAAAGCATTCTGTAGTAAGGTGGTGGAAATAAATATACTACCATAAATATAATTCCCAACTTGTGAATAAGTTTTATTCCAAAAGTGAATTTGTAAATTGATGGTTTGGAATACAGTGTATGTTTTTTTTCTTCTGAGGAACAGTGTGTTGTACACAACGATTAGGTTCTCTGTCTAACCCACAAAAACCCAGTTAACTCCTATGTTCCTGAATTGTTTACTTTAAAAAATCCAAGCATTTTTGATTTCACTAGTATTACTACTCTGCTGAAAAAGATGGCACGGTCCTTCATGTCTTAGTAGATGATTTTTGTGAGTTTTTGTGACTGAAAAATAATAAATGTACATCGACTAATTGAAAAATTTCATCATCTAGTAGCTAAAACTGATCACTTATTAATTCTTAATTCAGATAGTTGGGTCCTCAGATAACAGGCATATAGCCCCATCATCTGACCTGTCCTTGAATTTCTTCTAGGTTGGTGGAACCTGCTGAAGCTTGTACTTCAATACTGTAGCCTGCAAGAGCCCAGTGTTACTACTATGTCATAATGAGTCATCTGAGGAGGATTTTAATCATACAATTATGCATAACATGAGAGGCAGTTTTCTCTTAAAAACCCTACTCTGATAACTCATCATGGATTGAAAGTGACTTTAGCTTCTGTTAAAGCTATGCCAACAGAGTACAACTAGCATTTTATAATAATTGCTGGCATTTATATAATGCTTTATGGTCTGCAAAGCGCTTTACAAATATTATTTCATTTTAGCCTCACTATAGCCTTGGGATGTAGGTGCTATTATTATTATTTCCATTTTACAGATGAGGAAACTGAGGCAGGTTATCCCTTGCCCAGGGTCACACACCTGGTAAGTGTTTGAGGCTAGATTTGAACTCAAGTTTTCCTGATTCCACTTCCAGCGCTAACTTTGAATATGGGCCTGGCAATGAACCCTGTGTTTTCAGAGCCCCACCCCGAGCTAAGTGCATAGAGGTTTATTAATAGAGGGCTGTACTGTAATAATAAAATTTTTTTGGCCACTGCAACTCAATATGGTTGCCTACTAAGGCATGGAGAAGGGGTGGTCTGGGAGACTATGTGCATTGTGGTAGAGTAGATTCCTTATCAAACTGGAATTCCATTGTCAGTGGCTGTGATAATGTTCTTGTCTGATGCAGGCTTATGGTAATACATGACACTAGTGTAAATTGCTTTTTTTTTTAAATTGTTAGACAACGAGATTGTATGCTTCCTAAAAGTTCAGATAGCTGAAGCAATTAATTTACAAGACAAGAATTTAATGGCTCAACTTCAAGAAACAATTCGCTGCGTGGGACGTTTTGATAATAGAACTTGTCGGAAACTGCTGGCATCTATTGCAGAGGACTACCGGTACTTTATCCACCCATTCATTTTTTTGTTTTTTTTTAAAAACCCATTCAGTTTTTAAACTAAATTTTCAGCTCCCTGTGTTGTTGCTTTTTTTTTTCTGTCGAATCTTTTAGAAAAGAATCAAGGTGGTGGGATTTAGCTTTAATATGAAAAGAATTGGTAAACATGCTTTCTTTAGTATTGTAGTGAGGTCATTATGGAGAGACGTGCTTGTTTTTGGCAGCATCTAGCCTGGCATATGTGTTCCTTTAAGGTGATACTTGAGAGACAGCAACATTGCTGGAATAGATGCCTCATTTAGGTAAATCTCCCTTTATTTAAAAAAAAATTGCTGTTCATGTGTGAATCTATTTCTGCTCAAAACAAAGATTGTGTTGTATTAGTTGTAAAATCACTGAATTTGGAGACTGGAGGGCTGAGTTTGAATTGTACTTCCTAAATGTATAGATAGTCAGGTTCTTCATTTTAAAATAGGTATGGATTGTTAAGGAAGTGCTTTGTTGGCCTGAATGCACTATGGAAATGTGAATTATTATCACAAATAGTAATGATAGATGGTGTGAGGGCTTTGTTATGGAAAAGAGGTTATGGTAGTAGGAGGGTAGAGCAGATTTACTCCCCTTTGGCCAGAGTAACCCAGAGCTATATTAACATTACCATTGTGTAATCACTCTGGACTCATATAGATTGACTTTCCACTATTTCCTTTTTGCAGGACTTGAGCCACAGTGTAGAGAGAGGGCTACTGAAAGGGTTTACTGAGTCAGTCTCCAAGCATTGGGTTTGTTAGTGATATTCTTCACTGCTATGCAAGACAACAAAGCTAGACTCAGCGCCACACAACCTACCGAAAGAGGACTGAGCTGAGTCATATCTGAATTTTCTTCCTAGCTCTTCTGCTTTCTTACTCTGTTACTTTGGGCAAGTCACTTTACCTCTCTGGCTTTGTTTTTATTATCTCTGGCAGAATATTAGAATCCTAGGGATCACCTAGTCCAACCCTGTCATTTTACAAATGGAGAAACTGAGACAAAGAGAAGTCATTTGCTCAAGGTCACACAACTAGCTGGTCACAGAACTGCCTTGAATTCAGGTTTTGTGACTGATTTCTGATTCTGTAAATTAAAAGAGTCATAGAATCTCAGGTTGGAAGAGACCTTGGATATCATAATCTAGTTCAACCTTGGCCAAAGCAGGAATCTTCCCTTTAGTCTCTTGTTTGAAGATTTCTGATCATTAGAAACTTACTGTCTTCTGGTAGAGCTCGTTTTGCTTTTGGTCTGTTCTAATTGATAGGAAGTTTTCCTCTATGAAAGCCCTTCAGATATATAAAGGCAGAAATTGTCTCTGCTCCCCACTATCATCATCTCTTTGGCTCTTTAAGGCACATTCCAGATTTGATGATCTCTCTGTATTGTTCGAGAAGAATGGTTGTACTGTGACCTGTTGGTTTATGAACAAATGCCTAGAAAACAACTTCTTCATGAAGAGAAAACCTTATATGTTGTGCTAGTCTATTTCTGGTGTTTTTCAAAGCATTTCTTCTTTTAGGAAAAGAGCCCCATATATCGCTTACCTCACTCGTTGTCGCCAGGGGCTACAGACTACACAGGCCCATCTGGAAAGGCTGTTGCAGAGGGTTTTGCGAGACAAAGAGGTAGCCAACCGGTACTTTACCACAGTTTGTGTGAGATTATTGCTGGAGAGCAAAGAGAAGAAGATTCGGGAATTCATTCAAGGTAAATGACTTTGGATTTGAGTTTGAGATTTGTGGTTCTATCTGCTGACAGGTTCCATGGAACCTGTGATTAGAGACAGGAGACCTAGGGTTCGTATCCCAGTCTTGATGCTTCTAGCTCTGTGACTTAGGGCATCATGCAGACTTTCAATTCAGTAAAGATATCTGAAGCACACAAGTGCTATTAGAAATTTAAATATTATTAGCATCATCTTCCCTTCCCTCAAGGATATTACTATTATTAGCAACATCATTCCTGCCTTAATAGGGGAGATAGATGCACACAAATAAGTGTGAGAAAAGGTTGAATGTTGTAACGATGAGTAATGCGAAGTGTTTTAGGAAAGTTGGAGGGGAAATGATAATTTTTAACTGGAAGGTAGGGCATGTATTAGTTTTTATGATAGATTTGGCACATGAACTGTGTCTTTGAAGGAAGGGTAAGATTGCAGTGGAAGAGGGATTATGTGTCAAGCATGGGAAATGTTGAGGGTAAAATGTAGGCAAGCAGGAGAGGACAGGAGGAGATAGGAGAGAACAAGTAGTCCAATTTGGCCAAAATCTAGAGTCAGAGAAGGCTAGACAGATAGTTTAAAGCCAGAATTAAGGGACCTTGAATGTCAGGCCAAGTAGTTGGTAGTTCACCTTTTAGGCATAAGGAGCTACTGAAGATTTCTGAGCAAGAGAGTTTGTACCCTAGCATCCTTAATGTTTTACATACTCACCTTTTGTCCTGCTCTCACCACCTTCATTGTAATTATTCTTAAAATCAGGAAAACAGAGAGACCTGGGACCACAAGAGAGTTTGGTATCTTTTTTAGTTGGCAGCTGGGATTATAGCCAGTGTAAGCTCTTTTTTTTTCTTCCTCCCTGATTTCCACCTTGTGGGTTGTTTTGCATTGAAGACTTTCAGAAGCTCACAGCAGCTGATGATAAGACAGCTCAGGTAGAAGATTTCCTGCAGTTTTTATATGGTGCCATGGCTCAGGATGTCATCTGGCAGAATGCTAGTGAGGAACAGCTCCAAGATGCTCAGATGGCAATTGAGCGAAGTGTGATGAACCGAATTTTCAAGCTTGCCTTCTATCCTAACCAAGATGGAGACATTCTCCGTGACCAGTGAGTAATAACATTGTTCTGTGCTGTTTGCTGGGCTATCTAGAAATTGGCTAGATGTCTTTGTGGAGAGTTGTGGAGGTAACAGTGGAATGGCACTAGATCAGAACCTGTGAGTTTGAGCCTCAGTTCCACTTTTTATTAGTCGTGTAACAATTCATTTCACTTCTCTGACCCTTAGTTTCCTTATTTATAAATTGGGGGTAATAATACCTACCTTATCTGCCTCACGAGGTAAATGCTTTGCATATTCTGACTTGCTAAAAGAGTGAGGGTAATTATTATTGTACCATCTAAATGATACTCAAAGCAGGCTGGCCAGCCAACATGTATAGTATTTATCTTATAAAGCAAAAGATTTCTTTTGAGAAAAAAGGCATATTATAATGCTTCTAAAAATATTTGCATTACCAGTGTCAGAGAGTTGATCTGAAGATCAAATTATATAATTTGTATAGAATACCTTGTAAGCATAATTGTGACACAAGCCATCATTATTTATTTTTAGAATGCTTTAAGGCTTTAAAAAATTATCTTTTTACTGATATCTTTTGTTTTTGAATATATTGTTTCGGGAATATCCTCTTTCCGCTTGCCTACTTAGTGAGCCATTTTTTGTAACAAAGATTTGAAAGAGAGAGGAAAAAAATATAGTTCAGCAAAATTGATCAACATATCAACCATGACTGACAGTATAAACTACATTCTACATCTGTAGTCTGCCACCTCTGGAGTAAAAGAGAGGTGCAAGTTTTCAACTTTTTTCTAGGGCCAAGCTTGTTCATCATTTCTACAAACCATTTACTTTGAAGGTTTTAATTTTCTTTATGTTGTTTTCATTGTACTCATTGTTTTTCTAGTTCTGCTTACTTCACTGTTCATCAGTTCGTGTCTTCTCATGTTTTTCTGTATTCTTCATATTTGTCATTTTTTATAGCCCACTAATATTCCTTTGTATTTAAATATATACCTCAATTTATTTCATTCCCCAGTCGATAGGAACCTGTTTGTTTCCAGTTTTTTGGTATCACAAAAGATGACACTGTGAATATTTTTATGTATATAGAACCTTTCTTTCTGTCTTTTACATCATGAGAGATAGTTATATGCCTAGTAGTAAATGGAGTTACTTGATCAAAGCGTATGACTATTTTAGTCACTTTTCTAGCATAATTTCAAATTGCTTTCTGGAATATTTGGGTCACTATCATTAACTCTGTATCATATTATTGACAGTGATATTGTTATAGTCATGATAATGATAATGTTGGTCCATCTGTAAATGAGTCTCAATATACTCCAAGCAGTTTGTATACTTGACTTATATATTGAGTTTTAAATATATTTTGAAAGATAAAATTTAAAAACAATTCGTATTATCATTCTAATCCATATCTACAAACAAGATGTGTATAAACCTGAAGAAATGAATTACAACTATTGAAATTTTTTGTTGTTGTTGTTTTTAGGGTTCTTCATGAGCATATCCAGAGATTGTCCAAAGTAGTGACAGCAAATCATAAAGCACTTCAAATACCTGAGGTAATATAATACAACAAACTTCAGCTTATCTAGAATAGTTGGGTGTCAGTAAAGGTTATTTAGCAATTTTAGATTACCAGTTTTCAAATAATTAATATTCCAAGATCTGTAGCACTATTATTATTTAATTTTTTAAATTGCTCATTAGGTTTCAAGACTCTGTTGTACCTAAGAGTGGTTGTTCTGAGCACCAGATACCATCAAATACAGAAATCTGGATACAGAAAAACAGTGTGGTCTGGTGGAAAAAGTTGCAGTCAAAAAACACAGTTCTTCATAATGACTTTGGGACCAGTTAACTTAAGTGCATCACTTAACCTTTTAGTCCATTTCTTCATCTGCAAAATGGGGATAAGATACCTTATAAGTGTTTAAATATCTAAGGTAGTTCTGGGGTTGCTATTATTATAGGAGAGCAGATTAAATTAGTGACATAATCTAAAAGCTGTTTTCTTTTTTTTGTGAATTCCCTGACAAATTGTCATTTATCTTTATCATAAAAAGAAGACATAGAAAATAATTCAAGATATTTATGTGTCCTAGTTTTATAGAATCATAGAATATTAGAACCAAATGGGATATTAGAATAATAAATATAAAATGTCCTGCCTGGAACATAAAAGATTGAATATTAGCGCTAGAAGGAACCTTAGAACATAGAATTTCAGAGTTGGAAGGGCTCTTGGAATAACACAGTGTTAAAGAGATGATAAGGATATTTGAGTGGAAAACTTGGATTGAGAACTTAGATCTCCCCTATTTGAGAGATAGCACTTACGTATCTGTGATTTAGTAATTATGCCAGTAACTTGTTTAAATACATTTTGAATCCTTTCCTCAAAATGGGATAAGTTCCAGTCTGATGGCATAAGGAAGCTAGTTTCTTGGAGCTCTCGGTTCCCCAGGCTCAGAGCCATTTTTCTTTTATTATTTATGGATACATCTCCACTGAAATCTTCCTTAGATACCTCTCTGTGGCTTGTGAGTAACCTTGGGCTCTCACATTTATTGTTAGCTATTAGCAGGCTTTACTGGCTGGAAAGGCTTTAAGGACTGGCTGTATGAGGGTTTAGACCAATCTAATTAAGTATGGAGAGCTACCGGAATGTGGCCACCAGGGGATTTCTTCTTCTTTTTTTGTCCATAGCAACTCTTATAACCATCTTCTAAGACATGGAGGAGATATAAGCCGTGTTGTTGGAGGTACTATTCTCACTGACAAAATCATGAATCTTGAAGTAATGAATTGTATCCCTGTGAACATTTTAAAAAGTGTAGTGCATTCTACAGTTCATTGCATGACAAAATGGGAACTTATTAGCAAGATCTTGAAAGACTGGAAAAATGGACCAGATCTTATCAGATCAAATTAAATGTGACAGATTGTAAAGTCTACTTGAAGTTAAAAAACATCAATTGTACATGTACAGAATGAGCAAGATAGTAGCTGTCAGCAGTTCATGTGAAGGAGAACTATGGTTTTAAATAGGCTTCTAGCTCAGTATCAGACAGAGGTGTGATGTGGCACCCACAATAGGCAGTGGGATCTTAGATTGTGCTCTTAGGAGTCTGGTGTTTGGAAACAGACGTGTTCTGGGGAACGTCTTCAAGGGAAGACCCTTGCTCAGTAAGCTCTAGAGCTTCCTTCTCACCTACAGTAACAAATGCAAGCTCTTCTTCTCCTTGGCATTTAAAATCCTTTACAACCGACTGCCAACTTACCTTTCTAGGCTTCTCGTAGATTACTCTCTTTTGTGCTCTCACTCTACAGTCCTCACACTCTGGCCCTCTCCCTGTTTCTTACACATCCTAGTCCATTTTGCCTGTTTGTGCCGTAGTATAGGCTGTCCTCCAGGCCTGGAATTCACCCTCTTCTCACCACTACTTGTTGAAATATCCAGCTTCCTTCAAAACTCTACTTGGGTACCATCTCCTTCATGAGGCCTTTCCTGACCCACTCAGTTGATAGTGTTTCTACTCTAAAATTGTATTATGTCATACACACACATACATATACAAATGAATGCCTCTTTTATTTTTTAACGAAATATTAGCTCCTTTAGGTGAAGAATATTTTGATTTATGTTTGTAGTCCCAGTACATATGACAGTGCCTAGGGGCAGCTAGGTGGCGCAGTGGGTAGAGCACCAGCTCTGGAGTCAGGAGGACCTGAGTTTAAATGTGGCCTCAGACACACAGTACTCACTAGCTGTGTGACCCTGGGCAAGTCACTTAACCCCATTGCCTAGCAAAAAAAAAAAAACCAAACCACATATGACGTGCCTAGCACACAATAGGAACTTATTAATTGGCTAAAAAAAAGGGAAGCAATTGTACTTTTGTCCTCTCACCTGGTCAGACCAAAACTGGAGTATTATTTTAGGCTCTGCATTTTTGGAAGGGAAGAGAAAACTGAAACATATGAGAAGGAGTGTAGCAAATATGATGAAGGGACTGAAAACCATGCTATCTGGGGACTGGTTATAGGAATTGCGCAAGTTCAGCTTGGAGAAGGGAGAGGACTCAGCAAGTATTTAAAGATTTGTTTAGCTTGGAGGGCAGCCAGGTGGTGCCATAGTGCATAGAGCACTGGGCCTGGAGTCAGATACCTGCTAGCTGTATGACCCTGGGCAAGTCACTTAACCCTATTTGCCTGTGTTTCCTCATCTGTAAAATGAATTGCAGAAGGAAATGGCAAACTACTCCAATATCTTCACCAAGAAAATCCCAAATTGGTCATAAAAAGTTGGACGTGACTAAAACAACTCAACAGTAACAACAACAAATTAGCTTGGAAAAGGATAAACTTCTGAACATGGTAGCTGTATTTATGGTTTATTATGTGGAAGGGGATTTAATTTGTTTTGCTCAATCCCATGGGGCATAAATAGGAACAATTGTGAGGAGTTTCATAGAGGCAGATTTTAATTCAAGGTAATGAAATCTTTCCCCAAATTAGAGCTTACCTAGAATGGAATGGACTGTTATGGGAGAGAATGAATTTACATGTTATTAGAAATCTTCATGCAGAGGCTAGCTAACTACCATGGGGGATGTTGTAGAAATGATTCTTACTTCAGAAAAGGACTAGATGCACTTAACTCTAGGGCAGGGGTGGGGAACCTGTGGCTGCATGTGGCCCTCTAGGTCCTCAAGTGCAGCTTTTGACTGAATCCAAACTTCATAGAACAAATCCCCTTAATAGAAAGGATTTGTTTTATAAAAACTTGGATCAGTCAAAAGGCCCCACCCGATGACCTAGAAGGCCACATGTGGTCCTGAGGCCACAGGTTCTCCACCCCTGCTGTAGCTCATCTTTGAGGTTTCTTTCAAATCTGAGATTCTGTCATCTGGTGTGACCGAAAAGCTGATTTCCATAGAAGCTCCTTTATAGACAAAGTAGATCTGTTTTATTCTGGCAATGAAAATTTTATTCTTCTGTTCTTGTACTTATTAAAAGTTACTGATGTGAAAGTAGCATATTTGTACACTATAGTCTTCCGTTGTCTATTGCTGGTGGTGGGTCCTATTTAGGCTGATATATCAGAATATGACTCTCTTCTCCCCTTTAGGTGTATCTTCGGGAGGCACCATGGCCATCTGCACAATCTGAAATCCGCACAATAAGTGCTTATAAGACCCCTAGGGACAAAGTGCAGTGCATCCTGAGAATGTGCTCCACAATTATGAACCTGCTGAGTCTGGCCAATGAAGATTCAGTCCCTGGAGCGGATGATTTTGTTCCTGTTCTGGTGTTTGTTTTGATAAAGGTGAGCCAACTACTTACATACTTCCAAAGATTTGTGGTATCATTGGTGAGATTACTTTACTGATGCAAATCAGAGCCCCTCCTTGCCTTCCTTTGTGGTGTGATTTTTGTCCACATCTTTCAGTAAGGCCTCTTTTGAGGAGCCCCCTAATGCCCTACAGACGTATCTTGAGAATACCTGTGCAGCAGCATTAAGCTGTCTGTTTTCTTGCACTCTCACTATGTGATTAGCCTGAGTTTTTGTGTCATTGGTGATCTCTCTATTGTAAAGGCCACTCAATTACCACTGTTAAATACAGTGATAGCCTAGTGGGTATATTAAGCAACAGAAGCTAGGTAAAATGAAGGATGCAAATGAAGATAAAATCTGATATTTACAAAGCACTATGTGCGTTATCTCATTGGACTATCATTTGATCCATATGATGGTAGTAAAAAATAGCCCACATTCACAGGTTTCAAGGTCTAATTTACTCCAAAGATATTTTGCCTTTTGTTCACTGGGACTATGTCCTTGAGGTCTGTTATTAAAAGAAGTTAGATGACAAGTAAGAGCTTTCAGAAAAAAAGAACGGGAAGTCTCAACTCCTGACTAAACATTCTTTCTAAAACAGTGTCAGAATCCATGACCTATAGGTAAACAGATAATATATATTTCTCTTATTGTTGCCTTTGTTAATTCACATGCATAAATATTATTTTGTGCTACTTGTCACACATTTTATTGAATTTATTAGATCTCTCACCTGTTAATTTTAGGAATGTAATTATTTGTTACTTTAAACTTTAGGGCATAGATAATCATAATATTTGTTGTCACTTTGATGTTTACATTTTCACATTTCAGAATGTTTATGTACTTTTTTTCTTTTTAGAAAGAATCATTTGGTTTTTAAGTATGCCAGCGGTGGCATTGATGCATGCTGCGGCAATGTTGTATGAACTGCATGATTTAGACTTTGTTCTGCCTGCTTAATACTAGATGGACCAAAATTTAAGAATACTTTAAAGGACCAAGCTGTATCAATTGCTGTGCTGCATTTTTTTTTTTGGGTGAGGCAGTCAGGGTTAAGTGACTTGCCCAGATCACACAGCTAGTAAGTATCAAGTATCTGAGGCTGGATATGAACTCAGGTCCTCCTGACTCTAGAGCCAGTGCTCTATCAACTGCATCACCTAGCTGCCCCTGCGGTTTTTTTTTTTTAATCTTTAAGGCAAGTAGATAAGATGAAAATTTTATCTTGAAATAAAATTATATTTTTGCATCATTTTTTGCACCTGGACCTTTTAGTGTTAATTTCCTCTAAATTTACAACTCTGAGCTTTTTATACCTTATTTGTTAAAAGTGCTATTAAACCAGTAGAATTTAATAGTAGTAAACAAATGTTTCAGTGATATTTTAGAACAGCTTTTAAATAAATGTCTAAGGTACAGCTTAGGAACTTTCTCACTAACTCCTTTTTAAAAATGAGTAACAACCTAAATGTGTTTAGACTAGAGTGAAAAGCTTCCTTTCCCAATAGTTTATTATCAGATTTTTGCTTAGCTTAGTTTTAGTGCTTCGCAGCTGTGGTACCTTGATCCTATCCATATTTTATTAGGGGAGATAAAGGGCCCTTTTTTTCTTTTATGAATCTGAACTACATGAGTGGGAAGAATTAGAGGATAACTCATTCATTGGTCTGAACACAGAGAAGTGAGTATAGTTTGCTGCTGCTGGGCCTAGGGAAGGAGTCCTTTTTTTATTGTACCCAGGGTACATAACTGCCAGTGAGCTAAGATGGAGCCACCTAATTTTGGAGAGGAGAGGAAGAGTCCCCAATTTCCTAGATAAAAGGGACCTCAGAGGTTATCCATTCCAAAGCATACTTGAAAAATTTTCCCATTATACGATGTCCCAAGTGATCATCCAGCTTTTGCTTGAGGGCTTTGAGTGAGGGGAAGTATTCTCGAGGTGACCCATTCCACTTAGCATTAATAGTTAAGAAACATCATCAAACGCAAATTTTCCTTTTTGCAGCTTCCACTTATTGTCTGAAAGACAAAATCTTTTCCTTCTTTCACATTAGAGCCTTTCATTTACTTAAAAACATCTGTTATATTCTCTCTAAGTTTTCTTTTCTCCAGATTCAACATTACAATTTCCTTCAATTCTCATAAGTTGTGATCATGAGACCATTCACTATTGTGATTACCTTCCTCCTGAAACTGTAATTTACCAGTGTCCTTCCTAAAATAACCCTGACCTTAATAGGGTCTGTGTGACCTGACTGGGGCAGAGTAGAACAAGATGTCACCTCCCTAGTTCTGTGCTAGTCACTGTAACTCTTTTTAATAGAGGTTAAGGCCCCATTAGCTTTCTTGGAGTTTTGGCCAGGCATACCAGTTTGATATAGCTCATGGAGCTTGTAATCCAGTAAACCCCCAGATTGTCTTAAAAAATAAGTTTTCATACCTTTTGTCTTTACAACATGGCAGTTTCTGAGGAGGACAGGAAGCAGAACCCCTTCAGTTTTAACCTTCCTGTGTAACAGCTGAAAAAGTCAAGCAGCAATACTTAGTAAAGTGATCTCATCTGACAGGGTATTACATCCTCCTTGTCTTGTCCAGATGAACTTTCCTCCAGGCACATCTGCAGCCTCGTCTTGTACTTCTGAAGTTGATTTTTTAAACTATGTGGAAGACGAGAGAAAAAAATCCATTTGGATTCTGTTTAACAACAACAATAAAAATAATATAATAATTGAAATAATAGCTAACTTTATGTAGTGCTTACTATGTGCCCAGTGTTGTGCTATGTACTATACAAGTATTATCTCATTTGGTCCTCACAACAAGCCTGGGAGGTAGGTGCTATTCTTATCTCCATTTTATAGATGAGGAAACTGAGTCAGTCAGAAGTTAAGTGACTTGCCCAAGGTCACACAGCTAGTAAATGTCTGAGGTCAGATTTGAACTTGGGTTTTCCTGGCTCCAGGCCTGGCACTCTATCTACTCTACCACCTGGCTGCCTGAGTAGAAAGAAAAACAACCATCTGGAGGGGTTCTTGGCTGGGAATGATACTTAGCCTCCCTCACAAAGTGGTTCTGGGAAAAAGCGTGTTGTAATCCTTAAAGTACTGAAGAAATATGAGTTATCTTTAGATTAATTTGTATTTGTTGTTTTTCCTCCAGGCAAACCCACCCTGTTTACTGTCTACCGTTCAGTACATCAGTAGCTTTTATGCTAGCTGTCTGTCTGGAGAAGAATCGTATTGGTGGATGCAATTCACAGCAGCAGTTGAGTTCATTAAAACCATTGATGACCGGAAGTGACCTACTCTGAAGCCTGCTAGGACAGGCAGACTGTTTAGGGGAGCAGAATCTCTTAAATAATATTCACCAGCTGCTTAGCAGGCTGAAGATTGTCCTTGTATATTGTACAGAGTTCAGGCATTTTCAACCAGATCTTTACTAAACAGATTAATGAGTTAACTAGCAGGTTTTCTTTTCTTTTTTCCCCCCCCTGTTCCTGTTTCTGGGTTCCATATTTTATTCTTCCCACTCTCAGTAGAGGCTAGAGCTGCAACAAGGGACCACATTTTTCAGGTATTTTGGAATATAAAAACCTCTTGGAAGAATTCCTAGGTAATCATTCATGGATAGCCATTCTTTCTTTTTCTAAAAAAAAAAAAAGGACCAGGTCACCTCTTTTAAGATATCTAATATTGGTAAGAAAACACCCACTGGACCTGAAGGTTTATAATAGTTGAAACATTAGTGGCATTATCTCTAAATCTATATACCTAAATTGAGAAGCTGAGAAGGAAATGTAAATATAGTATATATATTTATATTTGTTGTACTATGGACATCTTCAGACTCTTTCGTAAACAAGGAACTTCTGTGTCTTGACAGTAGGTTGTGCCATAACCCTGTTGTGATATGGTTTCCTCAAAAGAACTTAAGCTGAGCTTAAAACAAAAAACCATAAATATTTATTAAAATACAATGCAGTTTATTGAACTTTCCAAGAGTTTGATGCGTGCAGTGCTACAGTTGATGGCAAGTGTAAATTTTTGGATCTTTTACCATGGAGGTTTGGGAGCTGCACATAAAAGAGATGGACTATGTCTAGAGATAAGCACTGACTGTAGAAAGGAATAGTAAATATCAGATACCTTATTGTAATATTTTTCTTCTGAAATATTGTGTATACTGTACAAACCCCAGACAGAGCTCCTTATGAACCTTAAATTGTAATATATGTTTTGATTGATTATTCACATTGAATGCATACGCCAGGGGATTCAGTGAATGGCGTTTTTTTTACTAAGTGTTCTTTGTATTGTCTGCTCTAGTGGTGCAGGTTTTACTAGTCATAAAATATTTTAACAAATCACACTGTTCTTATAAAAATATATATATATTTTATATATATGTATATATAATATATATATATATACACACATACATACATATATATTCATAAATAGGCACCATGTCAGGGTATTTGGGCAGATTTTTGTTATTTTCTCCTCTCTTCTAACAAAATATGGCTTTCTTTTCATTTAGATATCTAAACTGGCAGATTATCCTTGGTGCCTGAGAAGTTGACTGAGCAGGTGCTTGACAGCATTAAGCACATGTCTTGTACATAAGTGATCAGTGGCTGGTTTTATTTTGTACCTCTGTTCTTTCTCGATATCGATAATAATCAGTTCTTTTACAAAGTGGAGAGCTGAACCAGCTTCTTAATGCTAATAGTACCACCGCGCTCCCCAAAGTATTTTTATTGCTGGTCAGTTGGGTAAGGATGTAACAGCCAGCCTCTCGTAGGGAAAGAAAGACACAGTCTGTTCTCTTTCTGTAGGACGTGCTGCTTAGCATTTATAAAATACTGTGGGAAGATCAATTTCTTTATTCCACCATTCTCACTTTTCCATTCATTAACTTGAAGATATCAAGTTATATAGAAGTAGACGTAGAGTTAGGTGTTTGTTTTTAATGAGTGAACACATTAAACTAATACTGCTAAACTTTCATCCTTCCTTTAAGTTTTTAAAAAAATAACAAAATACAAACTTGTGTACAGTATACTGTTTCCTAGACTGTGCCTATCACAGTTGCCTTTGTTATTATAGGTCAAAGTCTGTTATGTATTCCATTACCAAAAAACAAACAAAAATCCAAACATTTGTATGATAAGATTTCTAAGATTCAACTGGTCAACTTATTTCCATTGGTATTTAAAAATTTGGAGTCAATTGTAATGTGATTTGATTTTGATAATTTAACAAGAGATATTTGTTTCCTTATGCACTAACTGCTCCCTCCCCCCAGGCATTCTTAAAATCTATTTTGTGTCATCAATGTGAAAATTATAAGATTCAGAAATGAACTTACATAGAGTTAATGTTTTGGAGAAGGGATGGAGGGTGGGGTAAGGGTTTCATCTCTTTATAACCTTGACTGGAGGTATAGTGTTAAAGTGCTGGTAGCAATAGAATTTGCCTTATTTAGTGCTGCCTACCTGTAGTCATGCAAATGCTTGAGCCCATAGAAGGAACACCATAGAAGTTTGGTTTCTGTGGCTATATGTTCTTTTTTCATTTGTGATAGAGATGATGACTGTACTCTTAGTCCTGACAGTGGAGGCTTTTTGGCAAATTGACATAGTAGAGCTTATTCAAGAGACAGTTAGCTTATTCATTCTGAGAAACTTTAAAGGCAAGAATTATTTCAGGATCAACAATGGCACCAGTTGTGTTCAGTGTCAGGATTTGTTGTTTTATTGATATTTAAGCATGGGAGTCAGTACACTATTTGGGGGTGTGTGTGTGTCTGTGTGTGTCTGTGTCTTTGTGTGTCTGTGTGTGTGTTGAGTAGAGGGGAAAAGAAGTAGTATGGGTTTGGCTCTGTTTTTTCAAAGTAATGGAATAGATTTGTACTGAGCTTTCTCCCAATAACTTAAAATGGAGCATTAGTGTGAAAGAGCACAGAACCTCTTGTTTTTCATGCTGAATGAGTTCACAGTGGATGTTAAGTTGGGACACTGGTTCACATTGGAGTTTTGCAAATGTACATAGAGAGAGCATTGGATTTGAATTAGAAGACTGGTGTTTGAATCCTGATGCATCTGTTTAGCAGCTGTGGGACTTTAGGCAAGTCATTTCTTTCTAGGTTTTAGTTTCTTCATCTGTAAAATGAGGGGTTTGGTCAGTATGATTTCTAGGCCCCTTTTATAGGCCTAATTTTTTCCCAGTTGAAAAGAGAAGAAAACTGATTTTCTGTTTATTTGCTGATTCTGAGAATTGAGTAGAAGAAGATTAAAGATTTTGAGTTTCCCCCAGCCCCTCTGTAAAATGCCTCTGGTTTACATCAGAATTTCAACAAGAGCTGTTAATCTGTTATCTGATTTTTTTCCTTTAAAAAAAAATACCCTGATTATTGACAGCCCTTTATATAAACATTGTTTCATAGTTATAATAAAAAAAATTAGGCTTTCTAAGGAATCATCAGACTCATAGATGTCATTTCCTGATGTGACTTTTAAATATTCTTCATGTATATATCTATAGGAAGATTTCATTTTGTTTTTCCTCCTGTAGTTGAACAACAGGAACGCAAACAAAAACTGTCTAAACCAAAAAGAAAAAAAATAACCCAAACAAGAAGCTAGAAGAATGCCCCTCCTCCCCCTAAACAACAACAATAACAACAGCAAAGACTGTTTTACTACGAGAGTCTTTAGCTACAGAAGCAGAACTTTGGGAGCTATAAACCTGTTTAGAATGCCATTAGGTTTTTTTTTTGGCTAAATAAAGGTCAATTAAATGTATAAAAATGGTTGTTTCTCCCCCAGATGGGTAAAGGTGGAAGGAGAAAGAGTAGGAAATTTGTTTACCTGATTACTTGACCAATTATGGTAGTGGCTCTCATTAGAAATAAGCTTTCTGTGTAATAGGATGGCTAGGTAGATCCTGAGGTGTTCTTTTAAAAAAATACATAGGAATTGTGGTTTCTGGTTGCAGACCAAATTTACCAGAAGAACTAACCAATATGATGTGAAAGCTGGGTTTGGGATTAGAGTCCTTCATAAATCACCCTGGGTGCCCCAAGAGGTCTTGGGTTACTTGCGTTTGCTAAAGGTTGACATGTCTTCTTAGTTGTGGATATTTGTATTGGCCAGTCAACCTATGGGAATTGACCCAGAGAACTGACCAGTCAGCCTGAAGAGTTGACTCAGGGAGATGTCTTTGTTGGTATTTTCTGTGTTCTCCTGTCCTGAGCTTGAGTGGATGACTTTCCAGTATTGATGCTCTTTTCAGAACTGCCAGAGAGCTGTAGGGTTATCAGAGCCCAGGAGTTCCATTGTTAGAGCTGTTCCTCTTGATATGCTGTATACTTTCTTAAAATGTTGTTTAAATGTTTATTCTCTACTCCCACCTTCTTTTTTTGAGGGAAAGTCTGTGTCTGCCTTATTTTTAGTTTCTTTATTCAAGCAAGATTATTCTGAAGAATTCTGAATGTTATCTGCCATAATTTTAAGAGAATAGAGTTTCAAAAACATCATAAAATTTTTAGCTGAATATTTTTTCTTTTCTCCCTCCTTTCCTTCCTTCCTTCCTTCCTTCCTTCCTTCCTTCCTTCCTTCCTTCCTTCCTTCCTTCCTTCCTTCCTTCCTTCCTTCCTTCCTTCCTTCCCTCCCTCCGTCCCTCCGTCATTAATAGTAGGTGTTGTTTGGGAAAAATATTGAATGCCAAAATGCTTGGGATCTCTTTACCAGACTAATGATAACTGAATATATTATAGAATGTAGACAATACCAGAAATGGGTCCTCAGTCAAGAAAAGCTTTGCTCCTCTTTAGAAAGCTGCATGTAAATAAAATCAAAGAGAAGTTGTGTGGCCAAGTGGGAAACCAGTGGTGTGGCCAATGATGTGGCAGGCCATTCCTGGTAGCAGCCAAATAGGAATTTGGACTTCAGAAAGAGGGTGTTTTGTATCTAGCCAACAACAGTCAGTATGGCTGAGCCTCTGTGGCTTCAGACTTCATCTCTGCTGAACTATTTCTGTGTTGTGTATCTATCGTGTGCTTCTCCTGTATTGAAAAGCTTTGTACTGCCTCTCCTCTTTGAAACTGGTAAAGCCTTTCTATAAGTCTAAATTAATGAGCTTGCACAATCTTGTATACCTACAGGAATCTTGTCTTGTCTCTAATGTGATTATTAATGTATTATATCATTCTGTAAAACTGATTAAAAAAGGAGAGCAGTTTAACTCCCTGGATTTTGTTTCCATCATCATGTAGTTTGTCTTATAAGCATTGTTGAAAATTCTTTTTGACTTGTAAATATTACTGCTCTTCTTCATGAATTCATACTTACCTTTTCCGTAAGAACACTTGAAAATGTATGTCAAATGTTTTGGAAGAAGGGATTAGAGAGAGAGGCTACTACATGAGTATCATGGGGAAAAAAGAATACTGACCTGGGAGTAAAAGAGACCCAACTTCTAGTCCTGGCTTTACCTCTAATTTTCCAGAGGTGATATTTTTGTAGCAGTTTAAAGCTTACAGAGCACAAGTTAAAACAAGTGTTAATGGTCCCATGATCTTCATTTTATAAATGAGGAAATTGAACAAGGCTCAAGAAGGTTTAAGATTTGTCTTGTATCACACGGCTGGTAAGTAGATCAGATTCAGGTGTCTTCTGACTCTAAATCCAGTGTCCTTTCCACTACACCATGTTGCTCCTCTACATTTTCGCTTCCCTTACCTGTGGGGAAGATGGCCTAGATGATTAATGCCTAAGCAAGCTCCCTTCTACCTTTAATGATCTAGGATTCTAGATCAGGGAGCTGCCATGGAGAAAGACACAAGCCTGAGACTTGACTCAGAAACTTGGGTTCAAATTCCAGTTCTTCCTCCTTTGGTCTAGTTTCCTCTTTGGACCTCAGTTTCCCCCTCTGTAAAATGAGGGAGGAGAGGTGTTTATGATTTTAAGTTCCTACAAGCTTTTAAAATCCATGAAGATGAATGTTTCACTTTTAGCACAGTTTCTATCTGTCCCTAATTATGGAAGACCTGAAACAATCTAATTTGTTGAAAATTGCATGGCTTAGTGCTGATAAAAAAAAGAGACACCATTAGAGACAGCTTTGTTTAATGAAAAGAGCATTGGTTTTTAGCATCAGAAAACCTAGTTTTAAGTCATGTCACTTTATAGTTCTATAACCCTAAACAAATTACTTCTCCTTAAGCTTCAGTTTCCTTATCTGTGAAAGAGAGAGAATAATGTTCCTACTATTTGTTGTATAGGGTTTTGATGCTCAAAACAATGAAAGTATGTAGAGTGTCTTATAAATGTGAGCTATTGTCATAACCACATTTTCTGAAGCCACAGCTGGTCTTTTCATCTGAGGAAAACTACAGATGAGGAGCCCTTCTCTTCATACATAAGCCTACCTTTCAGATAAGACATAAAGGGATGGAGGAAAGCAGGAAATGGGGAAAATTTTAAACTGTTCCTTTACAAATTTTCCTTTCGATGGAATCCACATAGTTATAGAAGGTAACTGTTAAAAATTAAATTAAATTCAAGTTTCAATACTTTAATAGATCTGGGAACTCATTGGTGTGAACACTTCCCTGCAAGGCATATTGCAGTCCATCTATATCTTCCCATCCTTTGTGATTTTATCTTTCCATTAATCCTCTACAGAAAAAAAAACATCTCAAGACACTGAAAGACTTCCTCTAATTTTTTTAGTATTTGGTGAGTAGAACTGCAACACTAGGGTTCTCCGTAGCTTATCCCTTACTCATACTATATGGCTTTGCCACCTTCTTTTCTGGGTGTGTATGTAGTAGATAGTATCTTTTATGCCCCCTTTTGCATACAGGTAGTAGTAACATATTACAGCTTGATTGAGACCCACAGTGCAGCTTTCCACTTGTCTTTTGGGTCTTGTAATTTTGATTCTATCTGATATTGTAGTGGTACCTGATTGGGGGAATATTATTTAGAGATGGAAGTAAGAAGTTTGAGATCGTTGTGAAAGCAATGTTTAATTTCCCAAATGTGATCTAGCCTGCTTAACTCTTCACTTCTTCACCAGCTCATTGTCTGTCTGCAGTGATTATTCAGGATATGTATACCAGTGGACCAAGTCAATGAGCTACCCCATTCAAAGGAACTTGGACAATGTGCATTCTTACTCATGTGATTTTTCTGGTGTGTATTGCTAGACTTTCTTTTAAAGGCCAAACATCTCATTGAGAAGGTCCTCTAGCATTGTTGGGCGTGATACAAATAGCATATTGTTATCCACAACAGGAACATAGGAAGGAACTTTGGCTTGATAAGAGTTCCTTACTCTCTTTGGACCCCAGCAGAGCTAAATTTTAAAATTAATGCTGTGTCCTCCTTACATGTGGCAATACTTCACATCAAAAACTTAGTAATTATGTTTATATTGGACTCTTTTTTGGGGTCAATTTATTATCTATAATTATTCATTAGCTTTTTTTGTCTGGGGCATTTTGCAGTTTGACTACTGAATGAATTTAGTTGGTTGATCTTATAATAATAATATTAGCATTTATATAGCACTTTAAAGTTTTCCAAGTGCTCATTTGATCATCAAAATAGTCCTTAAAATTAGGTGTTATTTTTATCCCCATTTTACAGCTGAGGAAACAAAAAGGCTCAGAGAGGTTAAACAGCTTGCCTAAGGTCACACAGTTAATTGTCTGCTCACTGCTACTTTTATGACATTTAGCCAGACTTATCAGTATTTGTACAGGTAAAAATGTCGATGCTATTAAGGAAATATGTCACAGCTCTTTTTAGATCCACATAAAAGGCTCAGAATCCCAGTTTACAAATTCATTTGAACATTTGTTAAAAGGTCAATTGTGCGGAGCCCAGTGTTCAGACTCGGGGTTCTAAAACAGGGCTTGCATTCAGTATGCTTTATATCCAATGGGAAATGACAAGTTTATGATGATAGAAAGGAGAGAGAAATGTTTGGGCTTTGCCAAGTGTTGTCAGAAATTTGAGGGAGGAGAGCTCACTTATAGTTTAGAGGGATGGTGGTGGGGCTGAGGTAAGATTTCATGGGAGAGGTGATATGACACTTGTGCTGGGCCTTGGAAGAAGTGGGGTGACTTAGACTTGGTCGGGGTGGTCAGAGAGGCCTTCGTCACATGGAAGATGACGTGGTCAGAGGCACAGAGATAGGCATACACTTTAAGAGGAATAGTTTGAGCTAAGCTTTGACAGGTGGGCCAGAGCCAGATAGTGGAGTGACTTGAATGATAAAAGTTCTTCTTTCCGAGAGTTATAAGTATTCATGTAATGTATTCATTTAACTCAGAATTGTTTTTAAAATTGGCTACAGAGGTAGAAAAACCTTAAGATATGGGGCCCCAAAGGTATCCTTTCTATTCTGTGCCCTGATGGAAGTGAAAATAGCTGTCGTTTCCAAGGCTAAGGAAGAGTGCATTTAGGAAATTATGAAACATGGAAACATTCCTGGAAGGAAGGGAGTTGCATTTGACTTCGTTACAGTTAAGCTGAGAATTAGGTGGATTCATTCTGCTTGAGCTCTAAAAGAGGAGTATAGTTGTTCAATTTAACACATATTGAGCACTTACTATGTACAAGACCCTGTGATTCTAAACAGAGGTGTGCTTTTTAAATGTTTAACAACCAGCTCTGGGGGCGGGGGGGGTGTGCCAGGATATGCAGCAGAACTTTAAAGTTTATTCTTCGTTACTAACATGTTCTCTGTTTAAGTCTAGACAGTCAACAAAAGAAGAAATCAATCCCTGATTTATAGCGTTTGCTGAAGTCTGAGAGTCTGGGGCCTGAACCTGAGTCTTCTGACAGTGCTCTTTTTATTATACCACACTGCAGGGGAAAGTGTATTGTAGTAGCAGTTGTTTACTTAATATTTTAGAATATGCAAGGCGCTGCCCTCATAGAAGCCGTGTGAATTAAGTAGTGTAAGTAAGAATTCATTTTATAGATGAAGAAACAGGCTTGGAGGGGTGAAATAACTTGCCCATGGGCACATAATTTAATTGATGGGGCTAGGACTCTTGTCCATAGGCAATGGCCTAAATAGTTAAGCTGGGACTCCAGTGTTCAACCTACCAGTGTGCCAAAGAATAGTCTAAAAGTTATAGTGACTATAAGATTCATTTCGTTTGAGACTTGCTAATAAAAGGCACTGAGGGAAGGTAAATTTAACTTCTGGGGCCACTTCTTGGTGGTGCAAGTGGATAGTGTTGGGCACAGAGTCAGGAAGACCTAAGTAAAATTTGCCCTCAGACACTTAAGTGGCTGTATAGCCTTGGGCAAGTCACTTAAAATCTGTTTGCCTTAGTTTCCTCCACTGTCAGATTGCAGTAATAATAGCACCTACCTCCCAGAGTTGTTGTGAGGAGACAAATAATATTTGTAAAGCACTTAGCCTGGTGCCTGGCAATAGTAGACGCTATAAAAATGCTAGCCGCTATGATTATTATTCAGTTTGAAGCAGGTATTAGTAGAGATGTTACTAGTGTCTTTCCCTTGTACTTTTACTTAGGCTCTTTAAAAACCCTCATTCCCCCTTTGTCTCTGGTTTATCTGATGTCCACAACTGCTGGGCATGAACCATTCATTCAGCAATCAATAAAAAGATCAAGTCTGTGACAAGGCCTTCAAGAAGCGTTCACTTGTGTACCAAAATGAGGACTTTAATGAAGCACATTTATATGTACCTGCAGTAAAACATGCTGTCCGGAACTTGTTTTACTTCATCCGAGCCCTTAGTTGCTTCAGATAGCAAAGGAAGGGAGGTAGATGACAAAGCAACTCTTGAGAACCAAATAAAGTTCAGAATAAAAATCCATCTTTAAGAAAAATCCCCCAAATGGGTTTAATCCTATTCCATGGAGTCTCTAAGGGCATTGAATCCTCCTACAATCCCAGTAATGTTAGCAGGGAGACTGACACTAGGAGAATATGTGATCTCAAAGCAATGCCATCTTTGTAAGGAAACACTTGAAAGAACCCAAGATCACTTTTTTGATAGAGGAGAAATAGAGAAGGACTTCAGTTGTACAGTGATGGGCAAAGGGGTACTCAGGACAGAAGTTCAGCATTCTATCTCTAAAAAGGTAAGAGATGGAGGAGGTTCAAAGGATTTAGAAATAAAAGGGACTTTAAAGAGTTTCTAGTCTAACCCCCTTGTTTTATAGCTGAGGAAGCTCTGGCCCAGGGTAGTTAAATGACCCTGCTTGTAGTATAGC